CGAGATGTCCTACCTGTGAGAGAACTATACGTTCTGGAATTATCAAATGTTAGTACTCATACAAAACCTCATACCCAGGTCTGAGCTCTTCGATGTCGGGGACAAGATTGAGGAATTCGTTCTTCCCAGCACGCGCCAGATATGACGTCTCCACTGTGGGCACCAACTGGAATTGTTCGAATTCTGTGCATGGGCTGGAGGCACGGGAGTTGGCTTCCGGGGTTCTGAAATAAAAGGAGGCGTCACTTACACAAATGTGCAAACAGCTGGTCATATTGCCTACTGAAACCAATCAGATTCTACCTTTTATTAACCTGTACCAACCCGATCAAGAAAGACAGGTCTCATGGAAATAAACGCTCTGATTGGCTGTTACAAGCAGCAAGAACAGCCCATCCCGCAGACGCTATGGGGAAGATTTACTAAAACTGGTGCACTCAGAATCTGATGCAGCTGTGCATGGCAGCCAATCAACGTGTAACTTCAGCTTGTTCAATTAAGCTTCGGCAATAAAACTTGAAAGCTGATTGGTTTCTATGCAGAGCTGCACCAGATTTTGCACTCTCCAGTTTTAGTAAATAACCCCCTATGATCAATAAATCCCAATGAACCAGTGAAGTAGAGAGTACACTCACTTCTGATCCACAGAGCTGCATCTGGAATCTGCCAGGGATGGACAGGTGGAGGAGGGTGTCAGGGTGGCGCTGCTGAAGCTTGAGACAGATGGGTCACGTCCAATTGGGGAAATATCGGACAGCTGGAAAACCAAGATTGATTTATAAGGATCAAAGCAAAACATCTGCATGCAGCACAATGAGAATTAAAATTGTCTTTCACAGTAGCAAAAGAAATGTGTGGTTACCCATCTCTAGATAGTAGGGTTTATGAAAGAGGATTAATATTGGTTAAAAAATGTTAAAATCTGCTGTAATCCCTGAGCAAGCTGCTGACGTATATCTGAAGCCCAAACATATACACTACACTGTACACTAGGATTGAGTGGTGAGGGGTTAGAAGGTCTGACAGGTTTGTATTGCAGGAAGTAGGAAAAAGGTGTGCACCACTGGATCTTCGTAGGTGTTTTCTGTCAGGTCTTAAAGTGGTTGTAAAGTATATATATATATTTTTTATATTAAACATGTTATACGTGCCTGCTCTGTGCAATAAAATTACATGAAGTAACCACGATCCTCCCCTTCTGGTGCCCCTTGTCAGACTTGACTGCATGACTGCGTAATTGTCATTCAATGTGTGATAGCTCTGAGAGCTGAAAATTGGCCTGGGCAGGAAGGGGGTGAAAGTGTACGGACATGAAGTGGCTAAGCTAGCTTCCCCAAGAGTGCTGGACAAAGGCATTTGCTGGAGTGGGGACTGGTTGCGCAAGGTGGAAAGTGCCAAAAGAAAAATGTACTAAGTCCATATTTTATTCTATTTAGACTCTTACATAGGCAATGCCTTTTGGAATTTCAAAGGGTGCCTTGCTACTGTTGAACTGTGTACTGGACTGATAATATCGGAGAGATCCTGGAGGGTAATTGGTATGCTCACTCCGGATGCTGGTTCAGCAAAGCCGGTAAAAATATGTTGTCATCCATAGCAAGCCATTAAAGTGTATCTAAAGCCCAAACTTTTATTTTTAGTTTGGATTGAGTGGTGAGGGGGTTGAACTGTCTGTGTCCCTGCTGGGTAGATTTAATCCCTTTATTTGTCACTGGGACAGAAAGTGATGGGAGATCCACCAGGACAGGAACAGAATGAAATTCTAATCAATTGGGACACTTGTTAGAGTGAGAGTCCTCTAAAAGGGGATTTCCTTCACTTTCAATATATTTCCTCTTCCTGTTGCGTCAGTAAGACAGGAAGTGAAGGGAATCTCCCAATCAGACACAGAAAACTAACCTGAGTTTTTTAAGCCTTTCCTACTCTGTGCAAAACGAAAATGTTTCAACTTTACATATACTTTAAGTCCTATATACTATATACTTTTATTAGTTTCTACTTAGATACTGAAAATAGGCTGCAATGGACAGAACCCTTGTGTTGCGCTTGAGAGTAAATAAATGTCTGACTATTTATGAAATCACAGAATTGAGGTCTGTACTCGGCACAGTGTGTCTCATGAAGTATTCATCAAATATAGGGTAGAAAGGTCAGTGTTCCACTTACCTTACAATCACTAATGCTGTTGCACACCGCAGTCAGCTCCTGGTTAAATGTATGAGTGAGTAGCCTCAGACACTGCAGGACAGGAAGGCACACCGGTATTACAATGGCAATACTCAAAAAAATCTCTCTGTAAAGTTTTCATTTCTAACACTTTCCCGTCTGACCTATAGCAAATTGATGGCAGGGCGGGATACTCGCCGTTGTGACTATGCGTCATATGACCTCCTGTCGAAACGAGCCCCTCACGCAGCCGCGGATCGCGCTGCGGCGCTGTCACCGGACGTGTCCATGGGACACAGCTGATGGCAGATCACTACACTGGCCCGTTGCCAGTGTCATGTGACCGCTGTGACACATCACAGCAGATCACATGTCAATTGTATACAATGGATGGCTTCCTGTCATGCCATCCATTGTATACAATTGTGTTGTTAGCTGTGACTGGTCAAGGCAGTCATATGATACAGACAGGGCCAATCACAGCCCATCTGTATCATGTGATCAACGTTGCCCAATCACAGCTAATCACAACAAAAGACTGAATGAATCAGCTTCATTCAGTAACAATGATTGCAAATATCAATGAAATACATTTGTATTAGAAATCATGTGTTAAAAAAAAAAAAAAAAATCCTGGTCACTTGCCAAGAGTAGTTCAATGTTACTATAGTAACATTGTATTGCTTTGGTCACAGTGTGCTGAAAAATAAAATGGTAAAAAAAAAAAAAAAAATTTAATAAAAAATAAAAAAAAAATAGAAAGATTTGAAAAAAAAAAAAACCACAAATTCAATTTTTATTATTATTTTCACAAAAGAAATGAATACATTTTGATCTAAATTAAGAAATTTTATTTATTTGCTAAATTTTATAACAGTGCGTTTTTTTACAAACATTTCAGGTGTTTTTTGTTTTATTTAGCAAAAAAAAAGCAAAAAAAAAAAACCTCAGTGGTGATTAAATACCACCAAAAGAAAGCTCTATTTGTGTGAAAGAAATGATAAAAATTTCATATGGGTACAGTGTTGCATGACCGCACAATTGTCATTCAAAGTGCGACAGCACTGAAAGCTGAAAATTGACCTGGGCAGGAAGGGGGTATCAGTGCCTGGTATTGAAGTGGTTAAAGACCAACTCCAGCCTAAAGAACAGAGCAGCAGCCCATAAAGACCCTCTTTCCTAGAAAAGCAGTAAAATTTAAATAGAGGTGGAAAAGGTGAGGGGTCGGTGGTCTTTGGTTTCCTTCATGCCCTCCCATCTATGAGTGAAGCCGATACCCAGCATGTCTAGTTCCCCTATGCACTGTTAGGAAATATAACCTGCTTCCCCAACAACATGCAGGACAAAAGAACACTCCATTACAGGAAGTGGAAAACACTGTACACTGCGGCTGTTCTTATCTCCAAACTGCCAGGAGGTTCAAGAGGAGATTCCATAAATGGACTACAATTAAAAGACTGATAAAAAAAATCACCTTGCTGGCCAGCTCTTTTTCTCGATCCACCAGACTCTCAACATCGGTGGAGTCGTATCCGCTGCTCTCGCTGGGGGTGACGGCACTTTCAAAGGTGGTGGTGGAGATTTGAGAGGAGATGCTGGTGGAGGTGCTGAGGGTCCCGCTACTGAGGCTTGGTGAGATGGACTCACTCAGGGATTTGGGGATGCTGTCTCCAAGCTTCTCTCTGAGCAGGAGTAGGTGCCGAGTTTTCTCCACCTTAGAGGAAGGACAAGAATATTATACAAACATAAAAGGGACGACCCCCACAGGCATTTGAGCAATCTAGCTGGATCCTGTAGCTCTTTCACCAGCCTGAAAACATACAAGTTACTAAACTTTATAAACTATTGTGCTAAACCTCTAGAAATTAAAAAGTGTTAGTAACACGGACAAACCGAAACCTTTCTTCTAAAAAAAGATAAAATATAAATGACGGTATTGAGATACAGGACGGAGTTTAACCACTTCCCGTTCGGCCCATGTAGATAAATGGCCGGACGGAAGCGCTGCCGTTTCTAAACGTCCCCCCGCATCCATTGCCTGTGCGTGCTCCTTGGCACCGCGATCGGTGCCCACCGTGTCCTCCGGACACAGTAGAACACAGATCGCTGTATGGGACCTCTGTGTGAGGTCCCGATCATTGGCCAATCAGTGATCACATGAATAGTAGTAAACAAGATGTCACCTCCTGACATCATTGCTTACTACGTGTGAAATCTGTGAATGATCACAGAGGTCACATGGTACAAGGCTAGTCACAACAACCTTATACCATGTGACAAGCTGTGACCAATCAGAGCTCTCACAGTATTTCTCAATGGCTGCAAGAATGCAGCCAGAGAGGAGAAATGATTGCTTTTACAGCCTTTATGGGTGTAAAAGCAACCAGTGTAAAAAAAGAAAAAAAATCTGTATCACCCCCCACAGGTAGTACAGTGTCACTATGGTGACACTGTACTACTAGGGTGACAGTATGTTAAAAAAATCACATAAATAATATATAAAAAAAAAAAAAAAGTAAAAAAAAAAATTTAGAAAAATTATAATTTTTGGTTATAAACTAATTTGGGCTGTTTTCTTACAAAAAAAGATAGCATTTTGTCCAAGATTTATGAAGAAAGATTTGCTAAATTTTATAAGAAAAACTTTTTTTTTTAATTTTTGGACTTTGTCATTTATATTGCAAAAAAAATAAAAATCTCAGTGGTGAATAAACACCAAAAAAATAAAGTTTTATCTGTCTCAAAAAAATGCTAAAAATTTAATTTATGGGTACAGTGTTGCATGACCGCGCAATTGTCATTCAAAGTGTGATAGAGCTGAAAGCTGAAAATTGGCCGGGACAGGAAGGGGGTAAAAGTGTCTGGACTTGAAGTGGTTAAAGCCAAGTGCCGTCTATAGTAAATACTGAAGATTTACATGACTTGTTCTATAATCCGCTACAGTTTATCATCTTATAACCTACCAATCACAGCACTTAGGACTCATATATAAGGACATCCAAATTTTGGGATAAAATGGAAACCCTGGCTAGGATGATAGACATCTACTACCTATATTGCAATGATTGTAGCAAGCCGCACTTCAAAAAACTTTTGTTTCAAAGATAACACAAAACCCAATTTCTGATGTTCTGCTAAAATTTTTCAAAGAGTCATATTACAAGCCTAGCTGTCATTGACAGTTTTGGTCTCACGGATGAACAGGAACCAATTAGACTGGTTCCTGATCATAAAAGTTTCAACTTGCGGAGGCCACTGCAGCCTGTAGATGGCAGTGTGCCTCTGTTTAATACTGTGATAGCTTTATACAAATATAGTATAAAAAAATTATAAAATAATTCAAAATGTAAAAATGTTGTCCACTTGTCAACGTAAACTAAAAAAATAGGGCTCAGTGTTTTTTTGTGCTTCTATTACAACAGTGTACCTTGGTTATAAGTTTTAAAAATATATAAATTATTTACACAGGCAACTTAGTCACAGAGTTATAATCAATTTAATTGGCATACACTGTCACTGCTAAATTTGGTCTTGGCATATAGGCTACAATGATGTCAGGTCACCAAAGAATTAATCATGCATAGTTTTGTATGTAAACAGAGATCCACCAGTGCTTTCATATGGTAAATGTTTTTTGGACCATTCAATGAAAAAAAAAAAAAAAACAAAACACACTACTAAATTCCAACTGTCCTACCTCGTGGAGCTGCTCCATTTTCTCTAGCTCCCACTGGTGTTCCAAAATCAAACTGTCACCTCGAGGTCTCCACCCAGCCAGGTTCTCCTCTCCACGGACATAGGCCACTGAAGTGTCCAAAATTTTCCTTCTCCTTCGCTGCATTCCTAATAGAAAGAACAGTAAAGCTAAATAAAATCCCAAGCTAATTTGATACCCCAACATCTAAATAATGGGTCACACACTGAAGACATTCAACTCCAGCCAAGCTTTATTGCAATAAGAGAACACTGTTCACTCACACCCAAATCATGCCCCAGACATGTTTCACCCACAGCAGGGCTTAATCATGAGCATTATGTAGCAGTCAGCATACACAACCCACATTGAAGAAAAATAGATTTGAAATATATTTTTAAAAATATGCTTCCTAAATATATTAACATATATTTGAAATACCACAATTTTGGCCATATTCAATACATTTCAATATATATATATATATATATATATATATATAACACACACACACACACATACACTGCATGTTGAAATGCGTTTTTATTACAAGATATATGAAAAATATATTTTTAAAAATGCATGTCATATATACTGTATGTCTTTAACCTCTTCTATACCGGGCACTTTTACCCCCTTCCTGCCCAGGCCAGTTTTCAGGTCTCAAAGCTCTCACACTTTGAATGACAATTGCGCGGTCATACAACATTGTACCCAAACTAAAATGTTATCATTTTCTTCACACAACTAGAGCTTTCTTTTGGTGGGTATTTAATCACACCGCTGGGGTTTTTATTTTTTGCTAAATTAACAAAAAAAAAATTTTAAAAAACCAAAAACATTTTTCTTTGTTTCTGTTACCAAAAATTTAAAAAACAAAACAAAACATGTTTTCTTTGTTTTTGTTATAAAAGTTTGCAAATAAATAATTGTTCTTCATAAATTTAGGCCGAGATGTATTCTGCTACATGTCTTTGGTGAAAAAACCCCAAATTGTTTATTACATTTTGTTTCTTTTTTTTAAGATTTTTTTTTCATATTTCACTATGACCAAATTAGTACAATGTTACCATAGTAACATTGTACTACTTTGGGGAAGTGATCAGTATTTTTTTTTTTTACACAATTTGCTTATAGCAAAGAATTACTTTGCTATAAGCAAGCATTTAACTGAATGACATCGATTCATTCAGGGTTTTTTTTTTTTTTTTTTATATGTGCTTAGCTGTGATTTGGCCACGGCTAATCACATGACACAGCTGGGCTGTGATTGGCCCAGCTTGTGCATGTGATCGCTGTGACCATTCACAGCTAGACGCACTAGTATACAATGGATGGCATGAATGAAGCCATCCATTGGTATACAATGTCCACACAAAACCCCAAAAATGGGTGGACAAAATGTATTGGCACCCTTACTGTCATGTGACCTGCAGTGATTGGTCACAGCAGGTCACATGGTTCCGGCAACGGAGCCGGTACTCAGATCTGTCATCGGCCGTGTACAGGTAGCGCCGCTACGCGGCTCTGCAGGCGCACAAACTGCGCATGTCGAAAAGGACGCCATATGGCGTCCACCCGGAAAGGTGAGTGTGTTTTTTGCTGGCCACCATTCGGCCAAAGGCCGGGCGGAAGTTAAAAATACGAATCTATGTTTACAACATCATTCTTATGTGCCTATATATTCTATGAATCTGTTTGTTCACCACAACTAACCATGTAGGTGGGCTATGTTTCCTTTTCTCTGTATCTACTTTCTACAGTTTTTCAATAAAAATATTGAAATATAAAAATACAAATCTACATTTTTTCAATGCATTTACAAATATATGTAAAAAATATATGTTAAACCGACTTTACATATTTAAAAAAATCTGAAGAATATATTTAAAAAGATATATATATATTTTTAAAAATATATATTTTTAAAATATATTCTTCAGATTTGTGTTAACATATAAAAAAGTAATTTTAACATATATTTTTACATATATTTGTAAATGCATATATATTTGTAATTTTTAAAGACATACAGTATATTTGAAATGTATTTTTAAAAATATTTTTCATATATTTTGTAATAAAAACACATTTCAACATGCAGTATATATATATATATTGAATATGGGCAAAATTGTAGTATTTCAAATATATGTCAATATATTTAGGAATCATATTTTTAACCACTTCCAGTCCGGACACTTTTACCCCCTTCCTGTCCAGGCCAATTTTCAGCTTTCAGTACTATCACACTTTGAATGACAATTGCGCGGTCATGCAACACTGTACCCATATTATTTTTTAGCATTTTTTGAGACAGATAAAGCTTTATTTTGGTGATATTTATTTACCACTGGGATTTTTATTTTTTTTGCTATGTAAATTAAAAAAAGTGTTTTTTCTTATAAAATTTTGCAAATAAATAGTATTTCATCATAAATCTTGGCCAAAATTTATTCCGTTATCTTTTTAGTAAAAAAAAAAAAAATATAGCCCAAATTAGTTTATAACCAAAATTATAATTTCTAAACATTTTTTTTTTTATATTATTTTTTTATTTTTTTACATACTGTCACCCTAGCAGTACAGTGTCACCTGAGGCTGATTGCAGGAGGTGTATTTAAGGAATGGCCAGACCTGCAGTCAGTGCCTTGGTGTATGTTTCCCATGAGCCCCTGTACCTGCATCCTGTCTGCTTCCTGCCTGATCCTGTTTCTGCTTTGATCCTGACTCTGAACGAACTCCGCCTGTCCTGACCTCGGCTATTCCTGACCACTCTTCTGCCTGCTCCTATGTGTCTTGTCTGCCCGATTGGTTCCTGACCCGGCCTGCCTGACCACTCCACCTCACCAGCCCTGACTGCTCTTGTCTGTGTTCATTCCGTTATCAGTTGGAGGTTTGGTTTAGTTATATTGTGCGTTTTATATTTGTGTATAACCTTTAACAAATTATATTGTTACACCATACTTGAGCCTGCATTTCCCTGTGTCAGTTCACACATCTCTGGTCTTACCGGGAGCCCTGACAGTAACCCTCATATGACATCTTCCTGGATCGCTGTCTCGTACGCGCTGTGGCGGGACAAGACACAGCCGATGACTGATCTGTGTACTAGCTTGTTGCTGGTACCGTGTGACTGCTGTGATCAATCACAGCAGGTCACATGACAATTGTAAACAATGGATGGCTTCCTTTCATGCCATTCATTGTATACAATTGTGTTGCTAGCTGTGATTGGTCACAGTGATCACATGGTAAGGACTGGGCCAATCACAGTCCATCTGTGTCTTGTGATTAGCTGTGGCCAATTACAGCTAATCACAACAAAACAAATAATCAATATCATTCAGTAAAATGCTTGCTTATAGCAATGAAATTCATTGCCATAAACAATCATAATGTGTAAAAAAAAAACAGAAAAACAAAAAAAAAAAACCACTGATCACTTCCCCAGAGTAGTACAATGTTAACGTGGTAACATTATATTACTCTGGTCACAGTATATTAGAAAAAAACAAACAATCAGAAAAAAAAAAAAAAAAGAAAAAAAATGTAAAACATTTTATAAAAAAGCATTTTTTTTCATACTGTCAGCAGTGTCCCTGGTCACCACCACACCAGTTATATGACGACGCTGTACCGCACTGGTGACAGAATGTAAAAAAAAAAAAAAGTTAATTTTTTTTTTTAACTTCTTAATTTTCCACAAAATTATGACAAAAAATGACAACTTCAAAAAACTCGTCTTACCTATTTCTAAATATCTCAGACTGTCTACTTTCCAAAAAGGGGTAATTTGGGGGATATCTATACTGTCCTGACATTTTTGGGCCGGGAGAAATGAGACAGGCCGTCAGTACACCGGGATTGATCGATTTTCAGATAGATACAATAGTTTGTGAACTCTATAAACTTTCCTACAGACTAAATAACACACACTGATTTGGGTTATTTTCACCAAAGAAATGAAGCAGAGAACATTTTGGCCTGAATTTATAAAGAACAATTATTTATTTGCAAACTTTTTTTTTAACAGAAACGAAGGAAAAATGTTTTTCTTTCACAATTTGCGTATTTTTTTTCTATAAATTTAACAAAAAAATAAAACCCAGTGGTGATCAAAACCACCAAAAAGAAAGCTCTAGTTGTGTAAACAAAATTCAAAAAAATTTAGTTTGGGTACAGTGTTGCACGACCGCACAATTATCATTCAAAGTGCGACAGCGCTGAAAGCTGAAAATTGATCTGGGCAGGAAGGTGGTAAAAGTGCCCGTTATTGAATTGGTTAATGTATGGCCAGCCTTAAAGTGATTGTAATAGTTCATTTTTTTTTACAAACATGTCTATACTTACCTGCTATGTGCTGTGGTTTTGCACAGGGCAGCCTGGACCCTCCTCTTCTCGGGTCACCCGTAGGCTCTCCTGGCTCCTCCTGTCGGGTGCCCCCCACAGCAAGCAGCTTGGTATGAGGGTCAATTTACACACAGATCCTCCCCCTCCAGAATACACTAATCAGAGCCTGCAGCCATTGGCTGTGAGTGCTGATCGGATGCTAGTTTTTCAACATGTCCCTTTGACAAAAGCCGGTCCTTAGACCAGCTTCTGTCTGAAGGACAGCTGTACATATGGTCCAAATGTCGGCCGATTCCTGCTGAACCGGCCGATATTCAGACCGTGTGTACCCAGCTTTACTCTTCACATGGTTCACCAGTGAAGTGAAACTTACTGTACTTATCCTTAAGTCAATACAGCTCCTAATTCAATAGATTGGGAAGGGTGGCATCTTGCACTCTCAAATCAAGTTAAATAGAAGTGCCCAAGAATCACATGAGATATATGAACGCTGTATACAAAGATATCAGTACATAAAAAATGTTCTTACCAGGACTTCCTGTGTCCGCCATTTTGCACAAACTCAGTTCATAGATTCCAGTTACTCTGTTACTGTAGAAAAAAAGCACATGACAGTCTATGTTCAGCGCAGATATCAAGAGGTTCAATTGGTACCATTTCAGGGGGTGTGAGTGATTGTCGTGCCTTATTTTAACAGTTTGTGGTAGTGGTGCACCGAAATGAAAATTCTGGTGCTGAAACCGAAAATTCAAAATGCACTTGGCCAAAAACCGAAGCAAAGTGCGCAGTTTTTAAAAATGAATATATATTTTTTAGAAAAAAATACACTTTGATTAAAAAAAAAAACAATATATACCCCACTTTTTTTGTAAATTTGAAAGAGGATGATACGGTGAGTAAATAGATACCCAACATGTCATGCTTTAAAATTGCGCACACGAGCTCGTGGAATGGCGTAAAACTGCGGTACTTAAAAATCTCCATGGGTGATGCTTTAAAAATGTCTACAGGTTAGTAGTGTAAAGTTACAGAGGAGGTCTAGTGTGAGAATTATTGCTCTTACTGTGACGTTCGCGATCTGTGGTTTGAACACCATTTATATATGTGGGCATCGCTTACGTATGCGTTCACCACTACATGCGAGCTTGGGGGGACAGGGGCACTTTAAACTCTCTTTAAAAATGTACTTGATTTTGTTTTGTTTTTTTTGCACTGTCCCTTTAAAAAAATGTTTAATCACTTTTATTCTTATCACAAGAAGTGCATGCATCCCTTGTGATAGAAATAATTAGTGACAGGTCCTCTTTAGACCCCACATATCTCCTCTGCAATGTAAAGCATTGGATCAAAAAAAGCATTGATCTAGTGCATTAAGAAAAAAAAAAATGGCCGGAAGTGACATCGCTCCGGTCCTCCAAGGGCATAGAGCTGAGTGGAGACCATCTTTCCCTCACTCATCTCTATGCCCAGCGCCGGGATCGTTTGATGGTTTCGCAGGTAAGGCTGAGAATTACCGAGCGGCGGGCCAGTGGCGGCAGCGACGGTGAAGGGCGGGCGCCGGCAAGGGGCGGGGTTTTTTCTGCAGCTGTATCGGTGCTTTTATTGATTACGGCCGAGGGCCGAAAGGGGTGTTTTCGTCCAAAACGTTTCAGCCACGGATATTTTGGTGCATGCCTAATTTATGGTAGTATTATCTTTCCTGTGAATGAACATTGGGGACAACAATATTAAAAAAAAAATAAAAAAATCACATATACAAGTCCTCACCAGTCAGGAGTCTTTGAATATCCGCTGCCAAAGAGACTGCGCAGGGACCGAGGTGGGGAGATTTTGGCATCACGAGAATAAAAGACCATACACACATCTTTTGTAATCACTGCTGGTTGGATACAATGATCAAGCTGACAAATAAGCAGAAAGATTATGCAATGGTGTAAACATCTGTCCATTTCTACATTTTAACACTAAAGGCACAAAGAGACAATAGAAAATATATGAACACCAAGAACCCAATGAGACGAACAGCAGGAGAGAAAGCATGAGAGAGAGAAAGGTCCAAAAAGAAAAGGCTGAAAGGGAGAGGGAAAGAGGAAGAGACATAGAGCAAGAGGCAGATAGGAGAGAGGAAGGGAAGGAAGAAGAAGGGACAAGGGAGGAAGACAGGAAAAGAGTGAAGTGGGGATGGTGGCAGGGAAGGGAAAAGAAAAGGGGGGTGGATAGAAGAAAGCCACGAAAGACAGATGTAAGGATGAGGTAAAAAAGGGGACAGGGAAGGATGGATGAAAATTTGAGTGAAAGAAAGTGGAATAGAAAGGAAAAGAAACAAACAAGCTGCTGATTAGGCCTTTGCTTTTAATTCACAGTGGAATAAATACCATTGTAGGTCTAGCTCACTTCTGGTGTGTTCACCTTATTGCCAGTCAAGCCCTGATGAAGGGGGGACCCCTGAAACACGTTGGCTACACTCAATTTATGCATACAAGGGAGAGGTGTTAGCGCTGCACCTCTCCCTTGTATGCATTTTTATTGAGAAGAGGTTCATATGGTACCTCTTTGGTGTTCAGCTGCTGTTTTCTTCTTCTTCTTTTTTTATTTTTAGTGATTTAACTACGTTTTAAGCGCTCACTTATTTTGAAAATTACATCTCAATTTATACCCCCTGACTTTTAATTGGATTAAAGCTGCATCTGGACCTCTTAACCACTTCCAGTCCGGACACTTTCACCCCCTTCCTGACCAGGGCAATTTTCAGCTTTCAGCGCTATCACACTTTGAATGACAATTGCGCGGTCATGCAACACTGTACCCATATGAATTTTTTACCATTTTTTTGAGACAGATAAAGCTTTATTTTGGTGGTATTTGTTCACCGCTGGGATTTTTATTTTTTTTGCTATGTAAATGAAAATGACCAAAAATTTTAAAAAAAGTGTTTTTCTAATACAATTAAATAATAATAATAATAATAATTAAATAAATAAATAATATTTCATCATAAATCTTGGCCAAAATGTATTCCGTTATCTTTTTAGTAAAAAAAAAAAAAAAATCCAAATTAGTTTATAACCAAAAATGATAATTTTTAAACTTTTTTTTTTTACATTTTTATATTATTTTTTATTTGTATGTTTTTTTTTTTACATACTGTCACCCTAGCAGTACAGTGTCACCATGGTGACACTACTAATTGTGGGGGGTGATGAAGATTTTTTTTTTTTTTTTTTACACTGATTGCTTTTACACCCATATAGGATGTAAAAGCAGTCATTTCTCTTTCTCTCTGTCTGCATTCTTGCAGTCATTGAGAAATACTGAGTGAGCTGTGATTGGTCACAGCTTGTCACATGGTACAAGGCTGTTGTGAATGGCCTTGTGCCATGTGACCTCTGTGATCATTCACAGATTTCACACGTAGTAAGCAATGATGTCGCAAGTGACATCTTGCTTACTACTTTGCATGTGATCACTGGCCAATCAGTGATCACAGGATCGGGACCTCGTACAGAGGTCCCGTCCGACGATCGGTGTTCCACTGTGTCCGGAGGACACAGCGGGCACCGGATCGCGGTGCTGCGCGCTCCCAGGGAGCGCGCACAAGCAGGGTGCGGGGAGGCTGTTTATAAACGGCCACCCGCCCCTGCACTGCCACCATACGGCCGTTTATATACAACGGCCGGTCAGGAAGTGGTTAACAGTGGTGTGGCGCTTCAATTTCAACTCTTCTTACAAGAAACAAAGAATGTCACAGATTGGGAAGGAAAGAAGTAAGGCTAAAGAGAGGGAATGAGAAAAGAAGGAAGTTGACTTTTTGTTTTTCTGCCTCTAAAGCCCTTCTGTGTTGCCCTATGTGTCCATGCCAACATAGGTGATCACAGGTATTGAGAGGCAGGGGGTGTTTAGGGGTAGAAAGATGAATGTCCCAAAATCACATTCAGGGTAGGAGCTTTTCGGCAGGAAAAAAAAACCCCAACATGCCTAAATGCATCTAAACATACCTAGGCGTGTTTAGAGCTTGAGCGTCCATTCATTTCAATGGCCATAATAAATTAATATTCTGGCCAATGAAATCCCAAATATTTGACATGCCTGAACACATCTAAATGCACCTAAATGTGTTTAAAAAAATGTGGCTTTAGGCATGTTTCTAATGCTGCTTTTCTCCTCTCAGGAAAAAGGCATTCAGAAGAGCCTACTGTGCATAAAGCCTAAAGATGAAGGAATAAAAGAAGGAAGGAAGGGAGAAAAAAGGGAAGAACATAAGGAATAGGGGAGAGAGGAAGGAAGCGGAGGAAGGATGGGTGAAAAGAGGGAATAAAGGAAAGCAGGATGGGGGAAGAGAATGAATTAAAGCCAACCACAGATGGATCGAGTCTCAACCGGTCCATGCTGAACCGGCTGAGATTTGATCCATCTATGGCCAGCTGTAATTCATTCTCTTCTCCCATCCTTCTTTTCACCCTTCCTTCTCTCCGCTTCGATCCATCTATGGGCAGGCTCCATCGATAGACTTCAGTCAGATTTTTTTCATGTGATTACCGCCAACTGTTGTGTTCTGCTGGCTGGGAGCCTTCCTTGTCGACAGAACACAACAGAAGTGCAGGAGAAATCCCCCATCAACACTGACTGTGCTAATGGTAGAAACAAGCAATTTTCTTTCCTGCCACTCGAGAAGGAAGGAAGGAAAGCATAGGAAAGGGAAGGGAAGGGAAAAAGAAAGAGAGAAGTTAGTAGAGGGGAGGGAAGGGAAAAAGAAAGAGAGAAGTAAGTAGAGGGGAGGGAAGGAAGGGAGGAAAAAGAAAGAGAGAAGTAAGTAGAGGGGAGGGAAGGAAAGGGAAAGGGAAAAGGGGGGGAAGGGGAAGGAAAGGGAAGGGGGAGGGGAAAAGGAAAGGGGGAGGGGGAGGGGGAGGGGAAGGAAAGGGAAAGGGGGTGAAAGGAGGGAAAGGGAAAAGGGAAAGGGGGAGGGAAAAAAGGAAAGGGGGAAAGGGGAGGGAAAAGAAAGGGGGAAAGGGGGAGGGAAAGGAAAGGGGAAAGGGAAGGGGAAAAGGGGGAAAGGGGAAGGGGGAAGGGGAAGGGGGAAAAGGGGGGAAGGGGGGAAAAAGGGGGAAAGGGGGAAAAAGGGGGAAGGGGGAAAGGGGGAAAGGGGGGAAAGGGGAAAGGGGAAAGGGGGGGGAAAGGGGAAAGGGGGGAGGGGGAAAGGGGGAAGGGGGAAAGGGGAAGGGGGGAAAGGGGAAAGGGAAGGGGGGGAAGGGGGGAAAGGGGGGAAAGGGGGGAAAGGGGGAAAAGGGGAAAGGGGGAAAGGGGGGAAAAGGGGGAAAGGGGGAAAGGGGGGAAAGAGGGGAAAGGGAGGGAAAGGGGGAAAGAGGGGAAAGGGAGGAAAGGGGGAAAGGGGGGGAAAGGGGGGAAAGGGGGGAAAGGGGGGAAAGGGGGGAAGGGGAAAAAAGAAAGAGAGAAGTAAATAGAGGGGAAAGAAGGAAAGAAATAGGGGGAGAGAGGAAAGGAAGAGGAAAGGAAGAAGGAAGAGGACATGAAGAAGAAAAGAAAGTAAGAAGAAGGAAGAAGAAAGGAAGAGAGGAAGATAGAGGAAAGGAAGAGGGAAGGAAGAGGGAAGGAAGGAAGAAAAGGAAGAGGAAGAAGAAAGGAAGAAAAGCAAGGAAGAAAGAAAGAAAGAAAGAAAGAAAGAGAAAGAAGAAAGAAAGAAAGAAAGAAGAAAGGGAAAGGAAGCAGAAAAGAGAAGATAGAAAGATGGACAGAGGAGAAGAAGACGAGAAAAAGAAAAAGGAAAGATGGAATAATGGAATGAAGGGATGAAAACACAGCAATGGATGGCAGTGAAAACTACAATGATCACACTGGTGTAAGACTGAAACATGTTTCACAGGAATAAAGCCAAGCCAGACTATGTCACAGTCACAGAAAGCAGTAACAGAGGAACTAATAGACTAAGACAGGCTTGCAGGATCTAGATGACAGACTACGTACCTCCAAGTAAGCTGACAGCGTCATATAGATCTTCTCTCCATAGGGAGTGACTCTATTGAGGAGTAGGGAGTTATGCAAGGAGCTGTCCCACACAGCCTCGAACCGGTAAAAGGTCCTGGAGAATCAGGGTGGTAACATCAGTTATCCTCTACATCCGCACTGCCCTTTTTCAACACAGAACATACCCACTCCCAACACACACCACAGAGACAGAAGACACACAAATGTAACTTTACAGGAAAACTAATCTAAGATATAAACCCCCTAAAAAATGACATGGATCCTCCTGTGAAAGGAGTACTGCCACATTTCATATATCCATTTTGGCTTGGCTGAACCTTTAAAGAGCACCTTTGGGGAATGGACTCTAGGTGAATGCCCCTGAGAAATATATAGAGAAGGTCCAGGATAGTGACCATAAGCAGCTGGGTTGTCCTCAGGCCTCGCTACATGTCATCACCATACATCAGCCTACCTGGCTCTCAGACAGTAAGGACAGTAAGGAAGATCTGTAAGACCGAACTGAATTCTAAAACCCATCTATTTACAGTGTATGTAAACCCCAATAATGAACTTCTGTTATTTGCTTCCCTTTGGGTTGTTTAATACTCCACGTAAAGTATTTTGCGGTTTATGTTTGGAAAATGCAGAAAATCCTGCCAGAAATCTTGTCAGCGGATAACTTTCTGTGCTTTCTGCCTGCGCACCAGTGAATACTCAAGCAGCTTCATCGGCTCTAGCCAGCTCATCCCAGCGAACTACAGAACGCCTCCCACATTCTATAGAAATAAGGTGAGGGGAGGTGTTCTGCAATCCTAACACACTTCCTGTCCTAGGGTGACAACGCAGCAACTCTATAGTTACAGTGTGCTGACTGAGCGTTGTCACCCAAGGACAGAAAGTGTTTTACTGGCAAGATCGTCAGGAGAAAATAAAGGAAAGAATGACTGCAAAAGGAATATTATTGCAGCCTCTACAAATAAAGACTGTCAAGCTGCAAATATTAAGTTTTGACACATACTAATTCCTGCTGTTAACTATATACAGCTGCAATGTGAGATCACAGGAGTCACAGGGAGCTGTTGGCCTGTCTAGGTGGACAATACCAATTACAAGGTTGGGAAGGTGTTTACCAAGCACTGCGAAAGTGATGTAGTGGTCTTGTACTATACAAACTAGAAATTCATCTCAAAAGATGTAATCTATGTTTTTATTGCAATTAATGGCAGACGAAGAAATTACAGAAATATTCTATATATATTTTATTTTTTTTTTAAATCAAATAAATATTATTATACCATTATACTAGATCTAACATATTTAAATGTATCTATTGCTACAAAGACAGAATAAAAGACACCATCATCAAAGTGGCAGATCATATTGCCCACTTTTTGCTTGCAACGAGGCAGTAACAAATTTGCAAGTCATTATCTAAAACCTTTATAAACTGTGCCCGGCTCCTCAACGGCATTGCTGAATTTGTATTCCTCTTTTTTATTTTCTTAATTTATTTTTAAGCAAACCCGTGATTAAACCAGTTCAGAAATGACATCATGCAAATGAGGAGTAGCCTTGAAATATATGCTGGATGGATCAGAGTGATTCTGATTGGTCAACATCAAGACAGAGAATCGATCTGATCTACCCTGGAAGCCCTGCAGAAAGAAGGGAGATTTAAAATTCCTGGACAGGGGCGGACTGACCATTTGGAAACTCGGGCACTGCCCGGGGTCAGTAGGGGGCCCCATAAGATGCCCCTTGGTACCTTTTTCATAGACTTTTTTGAGTTTGGGCAAGGACACAGGGGCCCCATGATTCCCCTATTGCCCGGGGGCCCCATGAGTTGTCAGTCCGCCCCTGGCTGCATGTTCCTTTTTTACAGAAGAAGCTGACATTTTTCTGCATTAACGAGGGAGTAGGGATTTGCGGAGTAATTTTAAGAAAACTGATTTTACAGAGGTCTTTTTTTTTTCTTCTAAAAATACCAAGGGAATCTTAGGGGTTAATGGAATATTTTCTTCAAAACCGTAATTATCGATTCCAACTTTGATAAAATTTAGTGTCTGATTTCACAATGCAAATTACTTGAATGAATTAAGCTTGGAGAATAAAAAAAAACAAAAACAAATCACATGGCTTTGTTTTCTAATGAAGCAAAAAACCATCTGAATTTTGCCTTCCTGGCTAAATGCTGAAATTTTGACAAAATGTTCAAATTTTCCCCAAAATTTCAATAAACTCAACATTCTTTATGACATTCCCTTAGAATCTGCACTGTAAAAAATAGTGTTTGATGATAGTGTCTTTTATGCTGCCATTTGAACGCTACTATCTAGCTATTTAGTGCGAAAGCGCTATAGGGAGGGTGGAGCAAGCCCGTGCAGGGGGAGGAGACATAAAGTATTCTGTGAGAGACTGAAGAATCTTTATGTGCAGGGTGGTGGTAGTGTGGGGGGTGGGAGAAGCAAAACATAAAATACCTAGGCATGTCCTTATCAAGAAACAGCCTGAAAGACACAGAAGAAGAAGCTGCTATTAGTGACAGAGACATTCAGGGAGACATAATGGAGGACGCCCGGAGCGCAGACAAGACTTCAGCGGAAAAGGGAAAAGGAGAGGGGAGCAAAAGAAACATATAAAAACCGCAAATAAAATCCAACATAAATGTGGCAAATAAAAAGACAAGCAGGACAATCATCACTTGAAAATTAATCCTCAAGTCACATTAAGGAACAACTTAACCCTCAAGTCAAGATGTGGTACGGGAGGTGCTAGAAGACACCCTTTAATATTGATTAGAACATCACTGTATTCCCTGACTGGTGCAGGTAGAGGTGTACCTAAGGCAGCCTTTCTCAACCAGGATGCCCATGGGGTGCCTTGGCAAAATGTCTAAAAATTGCCCAAAACTTGTATACATACAAGCCAGCGGGTGAATCAAACCTGCCTTTTAGTTACACAAAGCCACAGGTTTTCATTGTGCACCGTTATGACCTTCTAGCCGCCGGCATCCTGACAACCAATTACATAGTCAGTTGATAGGGAGGATGTCAGCTGCCTTCACAGCATCCTAGTTTCACCCTCCCTGCCCATCTCCATCAATGCTGGGGTCACATTAGCTCAATGATGGATAAAAACTGAGGGAGAAGAGAAACATTGGAATACTAGTCAGTACCAGTGTGCAAAAGTGTATTTGCTTCGGAAGAATAAATCACCTCTAACGTTGGGTGTCCTACATGTGTGGGTGTGTTGCTGCGTTATATACAACTATTAGAATAGTTTTTTCACATGTTAGAATGGGGCGCCCTTTTAAAATTATGGACAGTCTTGAGGCACCCCATTTTAAAATAGGGTGCCCCAAGGCTGTCCATAAGGGTGCCTTAACTGAAAAAAGGTTGAGAAACACTGGTCTAAGGATATAGGGCACTGTGGAAAAATCTGAACAAGGGAACCTTCATGTCTTACACAAAAAAAAAAAATTAGAGTCTCACTTAATCCTTGGGTGGATGATTTCTGATGTAGATACATTTTAAGGCCAGAATATATATATATTGTGTATTTATATATGTACATTTAGATACATACATACCAGGGGCGGACTGGCCATTTGGAAACTCGGGCACTGCCCGAGGGCCCGGGGTCAGTAAGGGGCCCCATGAGATGCCCCTGGTACCTTTTTCATAGACGTTTTTGAGTTTGGGCAAGGACACAGGGGCCCCATGTTCCCCTATTGCCCGGGGGCCCCATGAGTTGTCAGTCCGCCCCTGATACATACACACACACAGCTGGTGTCTTTCTGATGTGCTACTGGTTCTACCCTTGTACGGTGACCCCAAATCTGTCATCTCCATTATTCATGTAATCATGGCTGCAGGGACAGGACAAGGGGTGGGCAAGAGGGGCAGCCGCCCAGAGCACAGGGGTAGGGAGGGTGCCTCCTCACCACACGCAATCCCCAGATCAGTAGTTAGCATCCAGCAGCATGCAGATTCATGTCTACTCTGACAGCTACTGATGCGACACATGCTCCAATTGCCCACTCTTAAGCGCATTTGCCTACAGCTGACACAAAAAAACACATTCTACCTTCTATTTGCTATAAAGCAAGTAATTGACCAGCATGTAGTGAATACTCTATGGCAACCACGGACAGCCGATGCAAAGGGGGCTGAGAATGGGCAAAAGATTGTACACCCATTCTACTGCATGTATTAGGAGCGTGAGAGGGGGTGTAGTTCCCAGGGGCGGACTGACCATTTGGAAACTCGGGCATTGCCGAGAGCCCGGGGGGGTCAGTAGGGGGCCCCATGAGATGCCCCTGGTACCTTTTTTCATAGGCTTTTTTGAGTTTGGGCAAGGACACAGGGGCCCCATGATCCCCTATTGCCCGGGGGCCCCATGAGTTGTCAATCCGCCCCTGGTAGTTCCTCATCCTTGCCGCTGAACAAACTTGGCCTGGTACTGCCTTGGCTGTTCCAGTTAAACCATTCCAACTTTGCCTAGGCTGTGACCCAAACTTTTATCTGGTACCTCCCTGGGTGAAACTCCATCCAGGCTCCTCCCACACACACTTTACACACCCATAGGTGAAAAATTTGAGAACCCAAAAATAACGGTTTTGTTCTTCAGACTCCAAAAACTAGTTAGTAAATCTTGGTATTTTCTATTCGACAACCTAACTGAACTGAAGGTCATTTTACTTCTTGTGAGTAAAACCTTTAACTGGCTTCATAAGAAAAATACCCAGGGTGCCTTGCCCCAGCAGTCATAATAGATTACCTGCTGGAGCTGTGAGATTTGAGGTATTTGGCGGATATGATGTTGAGGGAAAGAACAGCATCTGCTGCACACTCGTCCACCTCGGCTTTGTTTCGGACTCTCCCTGGAAGGACAGATAGAAGGTGGATTGTCAGTACGGTGTTTCCAGGAGGGTGGGCACTTACAATTACAGGGGCACGTTGTGACACTCACCTACCACCAGTTCTCGTACATCCTTCCAATGCAATTCGTTGCCTTTCTCGTGGATTATAGTCACTGTGATTCTACGCTGGATGCCCTATAACAACAAATGGCATATCAATAGGCAAAACAATGGCCTCTGCTGCAGAAAAGACAAAACTACCACCATCTTTACTTTGATTTCCCTGACAATTATTCTATAGCTGGCAATGGTTCTTCTACATTTATTTATGGCCGTCATTATATAGTGCCATCAATCTACACAGTGCTTTACATATTGTACATTCACTTCAGGTCCTACCCCTTCCTGCCCCTAAGAAGCTTACAATTTAAGGTCCCTATTCCTACCTACATACATAGAATACACATACTAGGGACAACTTAGGGAGTGGCCAATTAACCCCTTTGCGCTGACTCCTTCTGGCCCTTTAAGAGTTTCAGAAGCCGGAAGGCGGGCAGGGTTTTAGGGTCATGTGACCGCCGTGATTCGCTGTCACAGCGGTCACATGATCGGAAAAGGTCCCGATCGGGATCTTTCCGCGAGTCACGGACATATGTGCTGGGAGCACGCAGGGTGCGCGCTCTCAGCACATATGTTTTTTCTAATGGCACACAAATATGCGGCCGCTTGGCGCCAAGGTCCAGGCGCCGAGAGGCTGCATATTTGCGTACGCTCGGCGTCTAGGGGTTATAACTAAAGGCAGAACTTTTTTATTTTAATTTTGGACAGAGTAGAGGGGGATTAGACCACCTCCCAGGTTTTTATTGCTGTCTGTGTCTCTGTTAGGAAGATTCATTCTCTCTACTTCTCCAGATACCGTTATCACTGAAAGTGAAAGCCATAAAATCGAAAATAGAATTCTCTTAACTTTCAGGGATTTCCTCTCACTTCCTGTATTAACCACCTCCCATCCGGACGTTGTATATAAAACGGCTGGATGGTGGCAGTGCAGGGTCGGGTGGATGTTTATAAACGGCCTTCCCGCCCCCAGCTTGCGATGCGCGCGCTCCCTGGGAGCGCGCAGCCCCGCTATCACAGTGGAAACCCGATTGTCGTACGGTACCTCTGTGTGAGGTCCCAATCATGTGATCACTGATTGGCCAATCAGTGATCACATGCAGAGTAGTAAGCAAGATGTCACTTCTGACATCATTGCTTACTATGTGAGAAATCTGTGAATGATCACAGAGGTCACATGGCACAAGGCCATTCACAACAGCCTTGTACCATGTGACAAGCTGTGACCAATCACAGCTCACACAGTAGTTCTCAATGGCTGCAAGAATGCAGCCAGGGAGAAGGAGAAATGATTGCTTTTACAGCCTTTATGGGTGTAAAAGCAATCAGTGTAAAAAAAAAAAAAATCTTCATCACCCCCCACAAAAAGGTGAAAGTATGTAAAAAAACCCCACATAAATAATAATATAAAAAAATAAAATGAAAATGTAAAAAAAATGTTAAAAAATTATAATTTTTGGTTATAAACTAATTTTGTGTTTTTTTTTACTAAAAAGATAATGGAATAAATTTTGGCCAAGATTTACGATGAAATATTATTTGCAAAACTTTATAAGAAAAACACTTTTTTTCAAAATTTTTGGACTTTTTAATTTACATAGAAAAAAAAAATCCCAGTGGTGAATAAATACCACCAAAATAAAGCTTTATCTGTCTCAAAATGCTAAAAATTAATACGGGTACAGTGTTGCATGACCGCGCAATTGTCATTCAAAGTGTGATAGTGCTGAAAGCTGAAAATTGGCCTGGACAGGAAGGGGGTGAAAGTGTCCGGACTGGAAGTGGTTAACTATAGGACAGGAAGTGAAGATAAGTCTTCCCAATGGGACACAGATGGCAACACAAGTCTGATTTTGTTATACCAGGTTATAACAGGTTCTACTTTAACCTGGGGCAACACAGTGGCTTCCGCCTGGCAGTACTGGGGTAGTTGGTTCGAATCCCAACCATGGCACCACCTGGAGTTTGCACGTTCTCCTTGTTCCTGCGTGGGTGTCCTCTGGGTACTCCGGTTCATTCCCACACACCAAAGACATGCTGGTAGGTTAATTGGATCCTGTCTGACTTGGCCCTAGTATGTGTATGCATGAATGGGAGTTAGGTAACTTGGACTGTACGTCCCATGAGGGTTAGGAATTGATGTGAATATGTGTATATATATATATATATCTTCGTAAATTGACGGCACTATATAAGTACCTAAAATAAATAAATACAGTCAGGTCCATAAATATTGGGACATCGACACATTCTAACATGTTGCTGAGCTCGCGGTGCGTTCCTTCTTTTTAAGAATGTTCCAAACAGTTGTTTTGGCCACGCCTAATGTTTTTGCTATCTCTCAGATGGGTTTGTTTTGTTTTTTCAGCCTAATGATGGCTTGCTTCACTGATAGTGACAGCTCTTTGGATCTCATCTTGAGAGTTGACAGCAACAAATTCCAAATGCAAATAGCACACTTGAAATGAACTCTGGACCTTTTATCTGCTCCTTGTAATTGGGATAATGAGGGAATAACACACACATGGCCATGGAACAGCTGAGAAGCCAATTGTACCATTACTTTTGGTCCCTTAACAAGTGGGAGGCACATATGCAAACTGTTGTAATTCCTACACCGTTCACCTGATTTGGATGTAAATACCCTCAAATTGAAGCTGACAGTCTGCAGTTAAAGCACACCTTGTTTGTTTCATTTCAAATCCATTGTGGTGTATAGAGCCAAAAATGTTAGAATTGTGTCGATGTCCCAATATTTATGGACCTGACTGTACATAAACCCACCAGCAAGTCTTTAGAGTGTGGGAGGAAACCAGAGTACCCACAGGAAACCCATGCAAGCACAGGGGCAACATGCCATCTCCAAGCAGTACCCAAGGACCCCAGTGTTGCAAAGGCAGAGGTACTAATCACTAAGCCACTGTGCTGCTTCCTATGACCACCACTGAATAATAAAAAGATAAAGGTATTTCTATCTGCAGGTTTTATAAATAAATGCATTAATCAGTATGCTCAGGCCCCTGATGCTCCCTTTCATCATGTGACTTGCAATAAAGTTACTATGTGCAGTCTGCATGATTACTGAGGGAGAAGAGACTGGGGAAATGCTTCTTCCTGCCTGCAGCGGGCTGGTCACATTTTAGCCTAGGCAAAGTGACTGGACAGGAAGTACTGTAATGAATAAAGATACAGCTCTTCCTGTATATTATGACATATCAGAAATGTACAGAGAAAGACTTTACCAGTGTACAGAATATTTATTTATTTCAGGTACTTATATAGCGCCGTTTCAATTTACACAGCGCTTTACATAAATATTGCACATTCACATCAGTCCCTAACCCTCAAGTGGTGTACAATCTAAGGTCCCTAACTCACATTCATACATACACATACTAGGGACAATTTAGACAGGAGCCAATTAACCTACCAGCATGTCTTTGTGGGAGGAAATCGGAGTACCCGGAGGAAGCCCACGCAGGCACAGGGAGAACCATGCAAACTCCAGGCAGAAGGTGCCACGGCTGGGCTTCAAACCAATGACCCTAGTACTGCCAGGCGGAAGTGCTAACCATGTATCCACTGTGCTGCCCGAATACCAAAACTATACATTTTCCTCCACTTTCTGAATGTTAAGGGATAACTTCCACCTCCAAGATAGCGCTGGAGGTACTTCACTGTTGGATTTTTTGTACTGCCCCATGTACCGTACCTGGTGTAGCAGGAAGGTTCCCTGACAGGACAGTCCTCCAGAGTGATCTACCACAGCCGGGATGTACCTTAAACAAAGCACCAAAGATAGGTCAACGCCTGACTCTCTAGGTAAGCCCCATCAATAACTGCGCTGTGTTAGTAACTTACTCTCCTGTTGGCTCAAGTTCGCTGATCTCAAACCACACCAAAAGGTCATATTTGCTGACGCTCTGCCCCAGACTTGTCTTGTTCAGGGGATTGAGTTTGTGGCCGGAACTGTAAGAGAAATGCAAGTCAGTATTAAATATCCTGCTATTAACACACTAAACCAAACTACTGGGTGGACCTACAGGGCCTACATCTTTACTAAACACCACCAGAAAGCTGGACTACTAACCTGGTCTCTTTGGTGCCCTCTCTGGTAGGCAGGTAGGGATAGGCAGAGACAGAAAAGATGGAAATTGGTCCGCCCTGTCTTGGAGGCTGGCGGAGAGAGCATGTGCATGTTCTGAAAGAGTGTCCAGTACGGGATCGCTGATGTAGCCAGACATCAGGTACCGGACCAGATTAATCTTTCTCTCTCCTGCCAACAAGACAGGTTATACACAGAACAGGCAGGGAGGGGTGAGGAACAAAGTGAGTTGATGAAGGCACAGGGCAAGGGTATGAATACAAACAGATCAAAAGAATATGACGTCATCATGCAGCAAAGAAAACATAAATAAAAAATAAATTTAATGATTGATGCAGCATGCAAAGCAACAAAACATGTTGAAAAAGAAAACTTCTGGCATGGATGGATGTTATTTAAAGGGTCAGTCCACACAAAATAGATATCTGGGTGGACACTGGTTAGCTAAAGCTTCTTGTATTTCCACCTAAAAAAACTCTCACTTCACTAAGATGTTTTAAAGACCAAAAAAAAAACCCAAAACAAAAAAAAACATAAATAAATAAAAGAAAAGATTCGGAGGAGAAGGAGACCCTTTGCAATGGCAGCCAACTGTTTCAGTCAATAGGAACAAAAATGCTGAGATCCTGGTGCTAGAGTATCTAAGAGACAGAAGAACTAATATTTCAGTTTTCGGATGCTGCTGCTGTGAATCATTCACTATTAGGGTGCATTCATGCTTGAGAATGCACCTTGCCTGTGATTACATTCGAGAACCCCAGTGGGGCTTCCTGAATTAGCTGCAAAGCATTAACAGCAATGGGAGGCTGCCAGCTGTTGCAGAGAACGAACACAAGCAAGTGATGGTCCCGGGATGCAGACCGCCTGCGTTCGAGTCGAATCACTCGCATGTGATAGCTGCATGAGAGGTTACATGGGAGCGGAAACACTCACCTGCATGAGCCAGCAGCCTCTCATTGCTTTCAATGGGGCTGCCTACTGGCAGCTAACTGAGCTGGTTTAATCGCATATAATCGTAGGCACGGTACATTCGCAAGTGTGAAAGCATTCTTAGGGTGGAACATATAACATGTTCCCATAGCTGCAGCCACCGCCTGCCCGCCCCCCCCTCCTTTGGAACGTGTTACATATTCCGCCCTTTTTTTTAGGGTGGAACATGTAACATGTTCCCATAGCTACAGCCACCGCCGCCCGCCCCTCCTCATTTGGAACATGTTACATGTTCTGTCCTTTTTTAGGGTGGAACATGTAACATGTTCCCATAGCTGCAGCCACCGCCCGCCACCACCCCCCCCTCCTTTGGAACGTGTTACATGTTCCGTCCTATTTTAGGGTGGAACATGTAACATGGTCCCATAGCTGCAGCCACCGCCCGCCGCCCCCTCTCTTTTGGAACGTGTTACATGTTCCGCCCCTTTTTTAGGGTGGAACATGTAACATGTTCCCATAGCTGCAGCCACCGCCCGCCGCCCCCCCTCCTTTGAAACTTATTACATGTTCCGCCCTTTTTTAGGGTGGAACATGTAACATGTTCCCATAGCTGAAACTTTTGAAACTTATTACATGTTCCGCCCTTTTTTAGGGTGGAACATGTAACATGTTCCCATAGCTGCAGCCACCGCCCCGCCGCCCCCCCCTCCTTTGAAACTTATTACATGTTCCGCCCTTTTTTAGGGTGGAACATGTAACATGTTCATAGCTGCAGCCACCGCCCGCCGCCCCCCCCTCCCTTTGAAACTTATTACATGTTCCGCCCTTTTTTTAGGGTGGAACATGTAACATGTTCCCATAGCTGCAGCCACCGCCCGCCCCGCCACCCCCCCCTCCTTTGAAACTTATTACATGTTCCGCCCTTTTTTAGGGTGGAACATGTAACATGTTCCCATAGCTGCAGCCACCGCCCGCCACCCCCCCCTCCTTTGGAACGTGTTACATGTTCCGTCCTATTTTAGGGTGGAACATGTAACATGTTCCCATAGCTGCAGCCACTGCCCGCCGCCCCCCCCTCCTTTGGAACATGTTACATGTTCCACCCTTTTTTAGGGTGGAACATGTAACATGTTGCCATAGCTGCAGCCACTGCCCACCACCCCCCCCCCCCCTGCCTCTGACAGATAGTACGGGGAAACTTCTTCCCGTATTATCTGTCAAATTTGAAAACAGCGCGGCCGTTCGGCTGCCTCATTCATGGATTTCCTCAAATGAGTGAACTGCAAGTCCCGACAGCCTTAGCGGCTGTGGGCTTGTAGTTTTCAACGAACTACCATGGCGCTGTGGAGCACCGTGGTAGTTCATTGCAGCTTCTGTCAGAATATCTGCTTGCTCGTACATCCTGTATGGCAAGCAGATATCCTGACAGGTCTGCAGGAGACCTGCATGGCACCAGCGACCTACTGAAGGTGCAAGGCTTTCCAGGCTCCTTTGGACAAAAATAATAAATGCACATCTTTTTACCTGCAAAAAAATTAGCATTTTTTTTATTATTGTCCAAAAGGCAAACTTATCCTTTAATGAGGAGCTATACTCACCTTGGATCCAGTGATGCAACATCCCGGAGATCCCTGATGGCCACTGATATCTTTCAGCAGCCAGTTTCTGGGTCATGATCGACAGACGCTTTTATTGGCAGGGCGGGGGGTGACGTCACTCCCACACATGCACGGGAGTGCAGTCAGCTTCGGCACTGCTGGTTTCCTACAGTGAGCTGCAATTGCACAGCAAGTGTACAGGGGCAGGCAGACAGGTAAGGAGCTTTAATGCAGAAGAGTTGTCTCTTCTCCATTTAAGACCTGCCCGTACACCAATTTTTTTTTTATTATTTAGCTAAGGTTCCACTTTAAAGTATATTACCACCTTTACAGTCAAATTTGAGAAACCCCCACTATATGTTTGTTCTGTGTTCCCAATCACACAGAACTAAAAATAATTTTTAAAAATTAGCTCCTGAGTTTTTCAAAAAGTGCATTTACATGAAAAGTACCAGCCACGCCTGAGATCCTTAACGTTTGTCATGACAGTCTCACAGATCTCGTTTACAACTGATAATAAAATCTGCCAGCACAGTACAGACAGAGTTATTTATGAAAAACGCAACTCCTCATCCCCCTCAAACAATACATGGAAAGGAAGAGCTAAGTAGGATTTTATGTTTAAAAAAAAAAAAAAAAAAAAAAGCATGTAAAATGGGAAGCTGCAGTATTTTTTATATTTTTTTAATATATGCTATATGAATGCTAACATGTAAGTAGATGCTATCCCGATATGGCTGCAAAAGATAAAATACTTTAAAACACCATCTACCTAGAACTGAAAAATAAAGTTGGGAGAGATCCTTTAATAAATGTCACGTTATAGAGTGCAGAAACTCATAATGGCCACCCAAATTTCATCATTTCTTACTGTAGAAAAGTTTGAACAATGAGTTTCCATTGGCTGATAAAGGTTACTGAACTTTGCATTAGTAAAGAAGCCGGTTTACCAAAGCACTAAAATCTTGTGCACACTGACAACTGGATGAACACAGCCACAGCTATATGCATTTGCTCTCATTATTAAATCTTCAAACCTGATTTATCCATGACAAGACATCAACATTTAAAAAAAAGTCCTGGATTCTTTCTTGGATACACAGAATATAACTGGATATAAAATTTATAGGTAAAGTTGATCCAGGGAATATCCGATTGCATCTCGGGGGATCAGGAAGGAATTTTTTTCCCAGCAGGAGCAAATTGGATCATGATTTGCTGGGAGTTTTTTTGCCTTCCTCTGGATCAACTGTGGGTGAAGGATTATAACTATTTTTTTTGGTTGAACTGGATGGACTTTTGTCTTTTTTCAGCCAGACTATGTAATATTTCAAATTAACCTTTTCCACCATACATTCACATACCTGGCTTGGAGAGGGGCATTGGTGGGGGAAAGTGACGCCTGGATGGTTGTGCTGGACTGCAAAACAAAAATAAAAGGTCCACATTAATGTATGACTGCCCATAGACACAAAGATGTCTCGCTGAGAACAATGGCTAACACAGAAAAGGAAGGATCAGCCCTCAGTTCACAGACATGTTCCAACAACTTGAAAATCACTTAGGCTAGGTTCATATCTGTGCGGGTGGTGCCGCTGCGGATCTGCATGAAAATCCGTGCAGCCGCATTACCCGTATAGAGAAATATGGACCCGTGGGCGGGTGCCATTCGTTCTAATGGCACGCCACCCGCACTGGAAAACGCAACCGTACTGGGAACCTAGGTTCACACGCAGGCTGCGTTTTTGGAAGAAGTGCAGGGACTTCTTCCCTGCGTGTCCCAGGTAGGGGAGTCCATTCAAATGAATGAGCTCTCCTGCCCGCACAGCTGCATATATGTGAAACGGGGGTTAGTGATGCCTAAAGCGATTCTAAAGGTTTATTTTTTTTTTTTAAGTATCTATACTTATCTACTGTATGCAGTGTTTTAGCACAGAGCAGCCCCGATCCTCCTCTTCTCGGTCCCCAGCAGGCTCTCCTGGCCCCTCCCTCCTGTCGGGTGACCCCACAGCAAGTAGCTGTGCATTAATTCACACATGGAGCCTCAGCGTGGCCCCACCCTATCTCTCCTCTCATTGGTTCACTGGCTGTGGCTGACAGCAGTGGGAGCCAATGGCCCCTGCTTCTGTCTCAGCGAACGAGAAGAGGGAGTCCCAGGATAGCCGAGACTTCAATGTACATTGCTGGATCGAAAGGGGACTTAGGTAAGTATTGGGGGGGGGGGATGCTGTGCAAAGAAGGTTTTTTTACCTTCAGGCATACAATGTATGAATTAAACAACCTTGAACCTTTACAACCACTTAAATTTTTTCAGTCGACACCTCTTCTCTGGTGGGCACAAGCAAAGGACTATATTTGGCCTAATTGCTCGCATAATATTAGTCCTCATTTACACTCACAATGCCCTCTGAAGAATGATTTGTGGTGAACTGCTTTTCAGAGGGTGTTAGACAGGTTGTCAGGGGAGGCAATATGTTGCTGTCTATTTTAACCCCTAAAAACTTGTACCTACATGCCGCAACAGTGTGCATCGCATACGGTTACAGGGCGTTTGCAGCATTCAGTCGAATGGGTTGAGTTCGGCAGGTGGTAGTGCCCACCAAATGTGATGAGGGGATAATTGGTACATCCCCGTCCACTGCCTTTAAACTTATGGGGGAGTGGCTGGCGGATCCACACGAAAATCCGTGCAGCCGCACCACCCGCACAGAGAATTGCGGACCCGCGAGCGGGTGCCATTAGTTCTAATGGCATGCCGCCCGCACTGGGAAATGCAACCGTACTGGGAACCGAGGTTCCCGTGGGGGCTGTGTTTTCCAAATTAGTGCAGGGACTTCTTTCCCTGCGTGTCACGGGCAAGGGAGTCCATTCAAATGAATGGGCTCTTGTGCCCAAGCAAAACGTGGCCCGCACAGCTGCATAGGTGTGAACCTAGGGTAAGGCCCTGTTCACATAAGGCGATTTCCCGAGATTCCGTGATTCCAAATCGTGGAAGAAATCACATTTAGCTGCCATTATTCTTAATGGCACCTCAAAGGAGTGTGATTCTGTTGCGATTGTTGCAAGACAGAATCGCAACAAAATGCGCTGTGAAAAACGGCGCTAAGATTGTCTCCCAAATAGGAGCAGGATTTTCTTTTGGAGGACAAATGAGCAAAGGGCAGCCCACTAAAGTGAATGGGCTGCCCTATGCCCGACATGCATTTCTACGTGTAAATCATGCTTTAAAAACTGTGGGTGGGAACGCTCATTCCTGCTGCGCGAGGTCTGAACAAGGCTTTTGCCACATAGAAGGCAATCACAGAGTTCTACTTTTATTCTCCAACAAATCATTGAAAACATGGAGGTAGACCCTAATTAGGGCAGGAAAAACAACCATTGTTCTGTCAGAGAATTCAGACATTGAGAACTTTGTAATTCCAGTCTCCTTTTTTTTGCCGTTACCTGAGGTCCTGGCCGTGCAGATGTAATGGGTGTTGCTGGTAATGTCCGAATACTTCAAACACAATCGGCTTGGTCTTGATATATTCTATGAAGGATTCAGTCACTTCTACTGCAATCTAATCAGAAGAAGAAGATGTATCAGCTTCACCAGTCATATCATGGTAGCCAAGGAGGACAGAACACTGTTACACTTACATTTTGTACGTGGTAGAAACCCAGCGGATTGCCACGCCCGTTATTTTTCAGCGGTTCCGTAGAAAAGGCCTCATCGTGCCGATGTAGAAAACTGGAATGCAATGTTTTAGAGCTTAATACCTCACTATACTGAGAACTAAACTTTCCCACATAACAACTGACTGCAAACCGCCTCCTTTATCATCAAATTATCTGAGCAGGATATACGACTCCGATTAGTAGGTCCCAAACAGTTTACAATCTTTTCGAAGTATAAGTTGAGTGTAATGATAAGGTAGGTACATTTCCATTCAATAACACTATCATCAGTTCCTCCCCTCATGCCAGGGTACTAGGTGTAATCCTAGACTCCCATCTGTCCTTTCAGTCCCAAATCCAATCGCTGTCCAAATCTTGTAGACTTCACCTCCGCAACATCTCCAAGATATGACCGTTCCTAACCCCGGAAACCACTAAGCTACTTATTCACTCCCTTGTTATATCTCACCTTGACTATTGTAACTCCCTCCTCATTGGCTGACCTCATCGCAGGCTATCCCCTCTTCAGTCTATCATGAATGCTGTTGCCAGAATCATCCACCTTACTAAACGTTCTGTATCAGCCACCCCCTCTGCCAATCCCTCCACTGGCTTCCTATTGCCCAACGGATAAAATTCAAAACATTAACAATAACATATTAAGCCATTTATAACTCTGCCCCAAATTACATTACCGATCTTGTTTCCAAATATCACCCAAACCGTACTCTCCGCTCCTCGCACGACCTCCTGCTCTCTAGCTCCCTTGTTTCCTCCTCCCATGCTCGTCTCCAGGACTTCTCCGGAGCTTCCCCCATCTTCTGGAACTCTTTACCCCAACTTTTAGGCGATCTCTGAAAACCTATCTCTTCAGGGAAGCCTATCCTGCCCTCAGCTAATAATGGAATCTTCTACTCTTCCAAACAGTCCATCCCCCACAGTTACTACCTTTTGTAAAACTAGCCCTTCCCTCCTAGATTGTAAGCTCCCAGGATCAGGCCCTCCTATCCCTCTTGTATTGAACTGTATTGTTGCTGTATTGTTTCCCGTTATATTGTAAAGCGCTGAGCAAATTGTTGGCGCCATATAAATCCTGTATAATAATAATAATAATGCTCCCCAACCAGAGAGATTTGTCCTGCACTTTTCTGAGTCTGCACCCAATCACTGTATTTTGTTCCTCTTTTCTGCTGGAACAGGTTGCAGGAAAGAGAATTGCTAGATTCCCCATCAACTCAGTTAATTTCTCCCACGGAACCATAATGCTCTCCTGGTGGAGAGCGGGGGGAGAGCAGTGCCCGCTGGGAGAACACAGTGATTACTATAGCCGCTTGCAATAATCGATTGTAGAATCCAACAGGCTGGTTGTATCTATCGATCAACTTTCGAGTACATTCAGCCTGCTCATACATGGTTTGCATCTCAGCCAGTCACTGTTGATTCGGCCAAGATTCAAACCATCTATGGCCCACTTTAGTTGTCAGCTCTACAGACACATTTAGGGATTTCCCTGACAACCATGCTTGAGGTCATTGTAGTCGTATTTGTGACCGCAGAGGCCAAAGCTCACAAACTCAACAACTTGCAGGTTGAAGATCTCTAGATCTGGGCACGGGGTGAGTGCAATATACATCATTTTATTAGCAGGGATCCAATTTAGAGATTTAAAAGAGAACATTGCTACTAAATTTTCAACTTTGAGTGTCCTGCCCCAGAGGAGACATCACAAGGTTCCTAATATTAACATTATTAGTTAGAAAAGCCTCGTCTGTGCACACTTCTAGTCTGGTTTCAGTCTGTTACAAAGGCCTGTCATTTCCTGCTTTGATGGCTTCACCAACTGCCTTCCCCTCTGTCCAGTGAGATTACCCTTAGGCTACCATTCACACCAGCAATAATTGACCAAATTTCACTCTGTTAGTGGGGCAATGGCACCGGCTGATTTTCATGGTTCCTCCCCATTTCGTTTATCGGGCATGCTGGAAAATTCGTGAAAAATGGCCGATTTTTGAAATCATTGGCGACCATCGGATTACAGAACGAACGATCGTTCGGAATTCGACCCATGTATGGCCTGCTTATGTGGGAGATTAATAAAACTGGAGCACTCAGAATCAGGTGCAGCTGTGCATGGCAGCCAATCAGCGTCTGACTTCAGCTTGTTCAGTTAAGCTGTGACAATAAAACCTGGAAGCTGATTGGTTTCTATGCAGAGCTGCACCAAATATTGCACTCTCCAGTTTAAACAAATAACCCCCTTCATGACAAAATGTTTGTAGACACCTGATTACCCTAAATGACCATGTTGGAAGTCCCATTTGAAAACTTTGGGCATCAATAGTGAGTTTGCCCCTTCTGCAGCATTAACAACCTCCACTGTAATGGGAAGGCTTTCCACAAGATTTTGGAGCACATCTGTGGAAGTGTGTACCCATTCAGTCAAAGGAGCATTTGTGAGGTCAGGTGCTGATGTTAGATAACAAGACCTGGTCCGCAACTGGCATTCCATTTCTTCTCAAAGATGTTCAGTGGGGCTGAGTTCGGGGCTCTGTGCAGGCAACTCAAGTTCCTCCACACCAAGCTAGTCAACATATATCTTTATAGAGCTGAAGTGGTGTCCACATACTCTGGACAGAAAGTGTATACTGTGTAAACCTCACTCATGCCTGGGACTATCTACAAAACACGACTCACTTGAACTGACAGAAGATATCGGCATATTCTGGTGGAATGCCGTTGGCTTGCAGGACGGTGACACGGAAGGTGAAGACACTGCCAATCTTCAAGTGTTCCCCTACATCTTCAGAGAATCCTTCCATTATCATTTTCCCATCTAAGAGGCTTCCTGATTTCATGTCTATGGAAAAGCGGAAGGTGATCAGAGAGAAGAAGAGTAAACAACAGACAGAGGCTGGGCATAAAAACAAAAAGATCCACCATGTTCTTGTGTCAGAAACATTGTCTTGTAAAACCTGCAGTTGTCTTTGTGTCACATGACTATATACGGTGTCAGGCAAAGCGTGTGTCATGTGACTCACCACAGACTGTGCTAGACAATGTTTGTACGGTACACGACTTACTGCAGGCTGTGCTAGACAACGCTTGGGCTATCACATGACTCACCCATCTCGGCCAGCCGGTTCACCTCCTCCATAGGAGTGTTCATTTCCGAATTCTGGCCCTGCCCTTCCACAATGCGGAGTTCTTCCAGTGACAGTCCCGAGCGGGTGAGGACTGTGGTTGACATGTCATTCTGTGAACAGAAAAACAAAGCCATTATTCAATAGCATGTCCACATAGCTTTTTCAAAAGGAGAAAACTAATTTATTCAAGGAAATCTAGTTACTTAATAATTCAATGCAATCAAAATGATGATCCACTTTTGTGGAGAAAAAACAATACTCAACTCACTTATAGATCACAGGGATTTTTTTTTTTCTAACTTTATTGAAAATAAAAGCTGGTAATACTTCAAGTCTTAATAAAGTTTTGCATTTGTAAATCAAGATCGTTTATAAAGTAGTATTTTTATCAAGCTTATAAAAAAAGGTGTTAGATTGGAGGTATAAATCTGTTCGAGTGTTTCTAAGAGTCAAATAAACAAAGAAAATGTGGGATCATAAATCATTTGTACCAAAACACCTTCTTCTCCCCCTTTACTCTTTTCCTGTACACCAATAACCCCAACACACAGATATTTATAAATTACAGTTAGGGTCTGTCACTGGTACACTATATTGCCAAAAGTCTTGGGCCAGCCCTCTAAATCATGTGATTCAGGTGTTCCAATCACCTTCATGCCACAGGTGTAAAAAATCAAGCCCCTAGGCATGCAGACTGCTTCTACAAACATTTGTGAAAGAATGGGTCCATCCGTGACATTTCCTGGGTACTAAATATTCCACGCTCAACTGTTAGTGGGATTATAACAAAGTGGAAGCAACTGGAAACAACAGCAACTCAGCCACCAAGTGGTAGGCCACGTCACATGACAGAGCGGGGTCAGCGCATGCTGAAGCGCACAGTGCGCAGAAGTCACCAACTGTCTGCAGAGTCAATAGCTAAAGACCTCCAAACTTGGTGTGGCCTTCAGATGAGCCCAACAACAGTGTGTAGAGAGCTTCATGGAATGGGTTTCCATGGCCGAGCAGCTGCATCCAAGCCTTACATCACCAAGTGCAATGCAAAGCGTCAGATGGCATGGTGTAAAGCACGCTGCCACTGGACTCTAGAGCAGTGGAGATGTGTTCTCTGGAGTGACCAATCACGCTTCTCTGTATGGCTGATGGATGTGTCTGGGTTTGGCGGTTGTCAGGAGAACGGTACTTGCCTGACTGCATTGTGCCAAGTGTAGAGTTTGGTGGAGGGGGGATTATGGTGTAGGGTTGTTTTTCAGGGGTTGGGCTTGGCCCCCTAGTTCCAGAGGGACTGAAGGGAACTCTTAAGGCGTCAGCATACCAAGACATTTTGGACAATTTCATGCTCCCAACTTTGTGGGAAGAGTTTGGGGATGGCCCCTTCCTGTTCCAAGGAGGAACTTGACTGGTCCAATTAGCTGGAAAATCGGGGTGCAGCTGGCATTGTTACGCACATGACATCGCAGTTTTAGATTGGCTAGTCCTTCGGTCACGAGTTTGGTGAGAAGGGCTGGAGTCTGACGCCGTGCCCGTCACAGGGGGGGCTCTTGATATCTGATATAAGGGTGGCAGACTCTTGTCTTCTGATGATGGTGGTGGTGGTGGGGGGCTCTTGATATCTGATGTAAGGGTGGTGGACTCTTGTCTTGATGATGTGGTGGGGGCTCTTGATATCTGATGTAAGGGTGGTGGACTCTTGTCTTGATGATGGTGGTGGAGGGGCTCTTTATATCTGATGAAAAGGGGGGGAGGGGGGGGAGTTGCTCTGGGCATATAGTCTTACAGATACAACCAGCCGCCTTTAAGGGCAACCATAATGCTGATAAAGACCAGCGTCGAAATTGATTTTGACACAACTGTGTTAAACCTTCTATATTTGTATAACAATGTCCCTCTAGCGTTTTGCTTGCAGCTCTCCCACTGTGCAGGGATAACCTTTCTCTATATAATAAAGTCCACCGAGATCCCTACCTTATGGAAGTAATCATTGTCAAAGGAGATCTTCGCGGTCCCTGACTGTCGTATTCCAGAACCGTAATCTGGAGCTTCCTCGTCACCTATAAAGGAGAAACAAAGCGGCACAATTACAGCAATTATTTGCAGCAAACTGGCGGGACATCATAAAACTTTGCTTAGAGACAGAAAAAGAAAGAAAATCGCACTAACCCGCTATTGCTTGAACCGCAACGCGCAAGAAACCGCGTACTTCCCCCTTCTCACTCACTATGGCCACCCGATGGACCAAGGGAACCGGGAAGAGCAGGTTACTGAGATAAACAAATGCTCTGAAAAAGAGAGCAAAGGGATTTGCTGTCACATAGGAGAGGAAAAAAAGCGCTGACGTCCCCAGATAATCTAATGATCAATCTTTTATACAGGATTAGATCTCATTTATCAATAGCTGAGAGAAGAACCAGTTATGTTGTTGCAGAAGCTGAATATATGCCCTATCCTCAACCCATACTGCATTCAGAAATAAAAATGGGGGGGGGGGGGATATAAGATTAAGCAGCCGGTTCTTCTTTCAGACGATTCGATAAATAAGGCCCAGTGAAGATCCATGCGTCCATTCACTAATATGTTATATGCAATGTGGTGTTTATAGACAACAATGTATCTTATGTAGCACAAAAGTGTCACCATTAATAAAACATCCTGATCACATGACAACCCAAAAACACAGCTATTCAGCTTTCCGGGGTTAGAGGTAACAAAATAAATAGAAAGCACAAACCAACTAGCTAAAATAAGTAACAAATGAAACGAAGAACTCAAAAATATGCATAAAATAAGAATTAATAAGCCATGTAGCAACATTACAAACATAAAAAAGAATACATAATTATTATATATATATATATATATATATATATATATATATATATAAAAAAAAAAAAGATGAGAACCAAAGTTTACAACACCACTACGGGGTTCCCAGCCTCACGTCAGATGCTTATTGAAATAAGGGGTGTCCAGAAATCATGGGAATAATAACCTGTTCTTGCTGGCCAAGGCAACCACCTTGTATTTGTAGTGGGGAAATAAATTGGGGAACAAATTTCCGCATTGTAAAAACGAATGTTAGACAAGTCTAATCACAGGAAATACTAAAACAATTGGCATAGGGCGCCAACTAAGTGCAGTCTATCCATATAATTAAAGTGGAACTTCGCTCTCTCAGTCAACATCGATTATTTTTAATCCTTTTGTTGCTAGCATTAGTAAATTATTATTATACAGGATTTATATGGCGCCAACAGTTTACGCAGCGCTTTACAATATGATGGGAGACAGTACAATTACAATACATTTCAGTACAGAAGGAATAGGAGTAAATAGATGTTTTAAATTTTGTTTTACATTTCTTCAGTTTCTTCCTGGTTTCCAAATAATGTCATACATCCCAGGAGTCTTCAGGAGGGATTTTCTCAGCTAAGCAAATTCTCCTGCCTCCATGCCTGAGCCAAGGGTAGATGGATTCCAGGAAGTAAATATTAAAAGAATCATCTGCCCTTACTTAAGATGGCCACGGCTAGAAATGCTAGGGGGTGTTTTTCAAAGTGATTTCTCAGCAAATTAAAGCATTAAGACATGGATGGGTGCGGGAGTTCACTTTGAATATTAAAAATTAATTAAATAGTGTTTGTGATTTGTGTTGCATAGACGCAGTGTAGTTCCACTTTAATTAAAAACACACAAATGGCAACTCACGTGATAAAAGTTAATGGCGGCAACATTACCTTTTATCCTGTGCACTGCCATTTGTGTGTTTTTATTAAAGGATAAATTCACCTTTGGGAACATGTTACATGTTCCACCCGTTTTTAGGGTGGAACATGTAACATGTTCCCATAGCTGCAGCCGCGCCTGCCGACCCTCCTCCCTCTGACAGATAATACGGGGAGAAGTTTCCCCGTACGATCTGTCAGATTTGAAAACAGCGCGTCTGTGCGGGACTCCGCCCACACGGCCACGTCATTCATTCACGGACTTCTGTGAATGAATGAACTGCAAGTCCCGACAGCCTTAGAGGCTGTGGAATTGTAGTTTTCAATTAACTACCACGGCACTGTGGTAGTTCATGGAAGCTTCCTGTCAGATTATCTGCCTGTATGGTAAGCAGATATTCTGACAAGTCTGTAGGAGACCTGCCTGGCATCAGCAATTTACTGATCGCTGGTGCAATGCTTTCCAGGCTCTATTGGACCAAGATAATAAATACACATTTTTTTTACCTGCAAAAAAAAAACGTGCATTTATTATTTTGGTCCAAAAGGTGAACTTCACCTTTAAATTATATGGATACACTGCACTTAGTTGGCGCCCTCTGCTGTTTCTTTTAGCATTTCCTACAGAGATTGCTTCATTCTCAGTGACTACCAACATGGAAGAAAAATATATTTGAAATATATTTTAAAAATATTTTTTCCAAATATATTGCCATATATTTGAAAAGCTAAAATTTTGCCCATATTCAATAAATATATATATATATATACATACATATACACACACACACACACACATATATATATATATATATATATATATATACTGCATGTTGAAATGTGTTTTTATTACAAAATATATGAAAAATATTTTTAAAAATACATTTCAAATATACTGTATGTCTTTGAAAATACAAATCTGCATTTTTGGAATGCATTTACAAATATATGTAAAAATATATTATAAAATGACTTTTTTTTTTTTTTTATATGTTATGCCTAATAGTTAGTTCACCTTCATAATAAAAAAATATTATAGTTTACAAATTAAGGTGCAGTGTCTGAAAATTAAGTTTTGTTTAGATAGCATTTCTGTAGGACAAGAGCAACCTCTGCAAAGCCTGGCCAGAAATACAGACAGACTGGTAAAAAAAATAAAAAGCTCAGCGTTGCTGTGACAGGGGGCATGTGCGATTCGGGGACGGTAGAGCGCACTCACTCCATGGTGATGGGCACGCACTCAATGTACCATAAATCCTGGGTTATATGCAGAGCAGTGTGGATCTACAGCCATATAATGTGACTGAAGCTCAATTTGTCTACATTGCTCTGTGACTACTGGGGTCCCCTCACTGCACTGTAAATTTTATTATAAATGTAAACTGACCCTTTAGCAAAAATTAGGACAAATATTTTTTGTTTGGCATGGCTATTTATGACAGCATGGGGGTTATTTACTAAAGCTGAAGAGTGCAAAATCTGACGCAGCTCTGCAGAGAAACCAATCAGCTTCCAGGATTTATTGCCAAAGTTTACCTGAACAAGCTGATGTTAGAAGCTGACTGGCTACCATGCCAGATTCTGAGCGCTCCAGTTTTAGTAAATCTCCCCCCCCCCCATGTGTCATTATGACCACAATAACCCATATGGAAGAAAAATATATTTGAAATATATATTAAAAAATATTCTTCCCAAATATATTGACATATTTTTGAAATGCTACAATTTTGGCCATATTCAATATATTTCAAAATAAAAATATATGAAATATATTATTAAAAATATATATTTTTTATAATATACCCTGCAAATTTTCTTTAACATATAAAAAAGTCATTTTAACATATATTTTTACGTATATTTGCAAATGCATTCCAAAAATGTAGATTTGTATTTTTAAAGACATACAGTATATTTGAAATGTATTTTTAAAAATATTTTTCATATATTTTGTAATAAAAACACATTTATATATATATATATATATATATATATATATATATATACAAATAAAATATTTTTAAAATATTATATTATAGTATTATTAAAATATTATATTTTATATATATATATATATATATATATAAAATTTATATATATAAAAATGTATATATATATATATATATAAACATTTATATATATAAATTTATATATAAAAATATATCGAATATGGCCCAAATTGTAGCATTTCAAATATATGAAATAGCCCTGATAACGAAGGGCCAAATCACACTGACTTGCACGAACATTTCGATCCATTTTAGTCGCATTTTAAAATGCGCCAATGTCTGTTCACATACATCTTGACGGAACGTTGACATGCATTTTGCATTTTAGTGCAACCCGATGGTATGGTGTGAATAGCACACAATGAAAATTATTGTTTTTCAGATGTCCTTCTGTTGATCAGATATTTTTTAATAAAAGCGCATTTCAACATACAGTATATATATATATATATATATATTTATTGAAATATATTTTGAAATATATTGAATTTCAAATATATGTCAATATACTTGGAAAGATTATTTTAAAAATATATTTCAAATATATTTTCCTTCCATGTGGGAAGCTACTGATAAGAGAACTGAACATCTGTGATGTTCTTCATAACGTTCCCAGCAGAGTGAAGACCTGATAACTAAGGGCCAAATCACAATGACTTGCGCTAAAATGCACGTACATTTCCACCCATTTTAGTTGCGTTTTAAAATGCGCCGATATCCGTTGACATACATCTGGATGGCCATTGACATGCAATTTACATTTTAGTGCAACCCGATGGTATGGTGTGCATAGGACACAATGAAAATGATTGTTTTTCAGATGTCCTTCAGTTGATCGGCGAGTTAACAGTTGCGCTAAAATGCACTCATGTGAATTGGCGCTAAAGGTTGATCTTTTGAGAACATGGATTCCACTGAAAAAAATGGCTGCACTTTGGGCAACAGCTAGTGAAAAGCATGGCTTTCAGTCTCTGGAACACCCCTCATTCACAGCTAGGGACGGGAGGACAGGGAAGAAATGAACTACAAGGTTGGTGAGGTGATGGCAAACCAAAACTAAAAGACAAAATTAAAATTAATTCAACATAAAAAAAACAACATATGCTTTTGTATACTGTTAAAATGGAAATTAAAACCATGAGCACAAACTGGGTCGAGGGTGCATCACACTCTGCCGCTTTACTGACTCCCCAACATGCGCAAGGCTGGAAGAACAAGCTCGCGTTTTTACCCACCTGAGAAGCACTTATATAGAATCTGTCTTGTTACAAATAAAGCTAAATATTTTTGTGAATATAGAAAAAAAATAAAATCCAGAACATTAAACGTTTAAATTTTAATATTTTGTAATAATGCACATTTATGAAATATGTTTTTTAAAAATATATTGTGAGTATGATTTTTATTTTGTGGTGTGTCCTTACCAAAAACTACCACTAATATCAAACAGAATATACAGCTGTAAAAATATCAAAAAGAAACCATGACAATACAGACAGAAGGATATCTCAGCCAGAGTTTGCTAGGGGTTCCTTGAGAAGTGAACAATGGCAGATTGATCTCGCACATACAGTGCTGTGAAAAAGTATTTGCCCCCATCCTGAAATACAAAATGCAGTTTTTAAATGCCGATTTAATTTATTAGGAGGAAAAAAGCTGTCCAAACCTGCCTAGCCCTATGTGAAAAAGTAATTTCTTCCCTAAATCAGGAATGAACTGTGATTTACCACATTTTATAGAAAGCAGAGTTAAATTTCACTTGCCACACCCAGGCCTGATTGCTGCCAGACCTGTTGAATCAAGAAATCACTTAGTCCTCATGCACACTTGATATTTTTACATCGGCTGTTTTTTGCTTTTTTTTTTTACAGTCAGTAAACCCCCCCAGCATGATATCCTCTGGATCAACTGTGGGTGTAGGATTATAATTTTTTTTTTTTTTCTATGGTTGAACTGGATGGACTTTTGTCTTTTTTCAGCCAAACTAACTATGTAACTATGTGTCCATGCACACAAAGACTATAATCAGCGTTTTTTGGCTGGAAAAAAAACCCCAGGACTAGTAGGTTTCTAGAAAACCGAAAACACTGAAAACTGCGGTAAAACACCGCAAACTGGCGTTTTTGGACCTTTTTTGACCAAAAACATTTTTTTGCTAAAAAAAATGCTAAAAACCACAAACGCAAAAAAACACTGGAAACCACCACTAAACGCTAATGCAAAAACGCGAAAAAAGCTGAAAAACTCATGTTTTTAACGCGACTTTACACAGCTAATGTTACCAGCGTTATCAAAACGTCCCGTGTTCATGAGGGCTTAAATAGAAGCTGTCTGACAAAGTGAAGCACACAAAAAGATCTAAAAAAGCAACACATCATGCTGCGATCTAAACAAATTCAGGTGAAAAAACAAGTAATTGACATGTATCAGTCTTGAAAGGAAACCATGGTGAGAGCCATTATCCACAAATGGAGAAAACTGGGAAAAGTGGTGAACCTTGCCAGGAATGGCCAGTCTACCAGAACTAACCCAAGAGCACGATGATGACTCATTCAGGAGGTTATAAAATAACTCAGAACAACATCTAAAAGAACTGCAGGCCTCACTTGCCTCAGTTAAGGTCAGTGTTCATGATTCAACAATAGAAAAGAGACTGGGTAAAAATGGCCTCCATGGGAGAGTTCCAAGGCGAAAGCCGCTGCTGACCAAAGGCTTGTCTCACATTGGCTAAAAACATCTTGATTACCTCCAAGACTTTTGGGCAAATATTCTGTGGACTGTTGAGATAAAAGTTTACCTTTTTGGAAGGTGTGCAGCCCATTACATCTGGTGTAAAACTAACACAGCATTTCATAAAAAGGACATCCTACCAACAGTCAAACATGGTAGAGGTAGTGTGATGCTCTGGGGCTACTTTGCAGCTTCAGGACCTGGACAACTTGCCATATTTGATGCAACCATGAATTCTACCATAAAATCCTGAAACAGAATGTCCAGTCATCAGTTTGTGACCTCAAGCGCACTTTGGTTATGATCCGAAACAGACCGGCAAGTCCACCTCTGAATGGCTCAAAAAAAAAAATCTAAAGTTTTTGGAGTGGCCTAGTCAAAGTCCGGACTTAAATCCAACTGAGTTGCTGTGGCATGACCTTAAACAGGCCCTTCAGGCTCGGGAACCCTCCAATGTGACTGAATTCTGCAAAGAAGAGTTGGCCAAAATTCCTCCACAGTGATGTGAAAGACTCATTACCAGTTATTGCAAATGCTTGATTGCAGTTGTGGCCGCCCAGGGTGGCACAACCACTTATTAGGTTTAGGGGGCAATTACTTTTCACATAGGCCCAGGCAGGTTTGGACAGCTTTTTAAAATTTGTTTGATGATCTGAATCATTTAAGTGTAACAAAAATGCAAAAAAATAAGGAAGGGGGCAAATACTTTTTCACAGTACTGTACAATGACTACAAATGTGATTGCTAGTCAATGTAGGCAGTCACTATTACAGTAATTACCATTGCAAGGGGGCATTTCTCCACTAACAACCAATGCAAGTGGGGCATTTCTCTACTAACCACCAATGTAATGAGACTTTTCTCCACTAAACTGCAGGCATGTGCACCTTCAGGTGCCTACAGTTCATACCTGCAGCAGTTTGTTTTTTATTATCCCCCATTCACCCTTACAGTCACTCTAAGGATACGATACAACTTGCCTCAATAATCAACATATCCAAGATCCCCAACATACTGCATTGGAAGACAGAATGGAAAGACAATTTTCCCTACAAGAAAATTTGATAAGCAAGGCCTAGTGTTAGTCCTGATAAGGGAATCAAGATATGGCCAACAAGGCTTCCCATCACATTAAGAATCAAGGAACAAGCCAAACTTTTATAGGGAAAGCATATGCATAGAACTTCAGGTGCATCTACTTATTGGTCTACTGATTATATGGACATGCAGTTTTCACTGAAGATCACCTCTGTGTATATATTTTAAATGATCAGTTAGAATTGCTCAGATTTGTCATTTGTAATGAAAGGTGGGTTTGACCTATGTAGAAAAAAAAATGTACCAGGACACATGGCCTTTAGATATGACTACCAGGCATTCTCATTCTTATCATTTGGGGTTCTGTCAGGAGCTTGTCCTTCCTTGCCCTTTCCTCGCACAACCTCACCAACCTTCCTACTAAAATGAACCAAGGGGAGCGGTCATAAAACGGGTCGTGCCCATCGCTGAACAGATCCGATCCTTCCTCATTGCCGACATCTGAGCCAGTGTCGTCCACAAAAGGCTCATCATCGAAGTCGTCCATTTGGTCCTGCTGTTCGTCGGCCAGCTCTGTGATATCTGAGTCCGCTGTTGAAAAGGTGGGGGATGGGGTGCGGTCTGCCAGCCGCTCGTTGACGCAACCGTGGAATATGGGTGAACTGAACAGTTGTAATGGAAGATTTGTTATCACAACCCTGAGTTACAGAAGGAGGAGGGGTAGGGTACACTACAAATAATTTACCAGCGGAAACTAATAAAATAAAATGAATGCCATGCAAAACTAAGGGTGGCACAGACTGGCACTCGGGGTACAGACGCCAAAGCTCCAGGCTGCTACCCAAATGAGTGTGTACATGTATGGATCTGTACTAGATGTGAAAAGGGCTATTGGACTATACGTTGCTATGGGTCAGAGAATGATACGAACTCTTGAATGTACCCTGTAAATCATTGAAAAAGTCAATTCTATATCTGTATGTTCATCAAACTTTATATTATCTCTTATTGCCCTTAGGGTGACATTCCAATCAAACCCTCACTAAGCTTAAAGCGGAGCTTCACCCAAAAGGGGAAGTTCCGCTTTAAGGACTGGCACCTTTGGGGGGCGGGGGGGGGGGAGCGGGTACCCAAATTTGACAGGTACCCGCTCCCACTTCCAGAAGGTGTCCTCCCTTCCTCCCTGTAGTCTTTTGGGACAGGTCCCAGAAGACTACAGGACCATTCATGACCATTCATGAAGCGCAGCTCTACTCGCGCATGCGCAGTGGGTACCCGGCTGTGAAGCCGCAAGCTGCCACAGCTGTGTGCCCACAATGAAGATTCCGGCCTCCTGGAATACAGGACGGCCGGTGAAACGGGCTGCGGGGGACACACAGCGGGACCAAGGGACAGGTAAGTGGTTGTTTTTTAAAAGTCAGCAGCTACAGTTTTTGTAGCTGCTAACTTTTATTTTTTGACAGGGTGAGTGGAACTCCGCTTTAAATCTACACCCACCCCCATTCTAAGATTATTCCATCTACCCTGTAAAAGAAAAGATGTCCATAATTACCTATTCTGAAGCTTCTCTGCTCCGGTCCAGTCAGATGGCCGGCTTCAGTGTAGAGGAGAGGCAGGGACAGCTGCTGCAGAGCCTAGGCGATGATGTCACCTAATAAAGAAAACAGAGGGCGCACCGGCCTAGTGCATCACCTTAAAAAATGTATTTAAGGATAAAAGAAGGTATTGTACTCACAAAATGACAATACAGTCAAAGGCAAATCATAAAGGAACAGCTCTGTCCGAATCACACTACGTGTCTGTCCGCATTGGGCACTACAGGAGCCAGTTGGAAGTCTATAGTTCCCAATGCGGACAAACACGTAGTGTAGATTGGACAGAGCTGTTCCTTTATGATGTGCCTTTGACTGCAGAGGCGGACTGACCATTTGGAAACTCGGGCACTGCCCGAGGTCAGTAGGGGGTCCCATGTGATAACCCCTGGTACCTTTTTCATAGGCTTTTTTGAGTTTGGGCAAGGACACAGGGGCCCCATGATCCCCTATTGCCCGGGGGCCCCATGCGTTGTCAGTCCGCCCCTGTTTGACTGTACTGTCATTTTGTGAGTACAATACCTTCTGTTATCTTTCCTTAAATACATTTTTTTAAGGTGATGCACTAGGCCGGTGCACCCTCTGTTTGTTTTCTTTATTCAGTACATTTGGACTCCCCCGGTCTCTTGAGGGCAGCAAGGCGTGAATATTCCAGGACATTCGTGATGTGGTCCTAATTTTTACTGAGTCCATCCCCAAGCGCAGGAGCATCTGGGTTTGCTCTTCCCTTTTTGATGATGTCACCTGTAGGATTACTTTTATGGGCAGCTATTGTTGGCTGTCCCTCCTCTACACTGTAGTTGGCTCTGGAAGCTGGTCATCTAACTGGACTGGAGAGGCTTCAGAATAGGTAAGTATAGGCAACAACTTTTCTTTTACAGGGTAGATAGAATAGTCTTGGAATGGGAGTAGGATTTAGGTTTAGTTGGGGTATGAATGTAATTTCAGTTTAAAATGCATCTAACCTAGCTGAAAACAAACTGGCCCAAGCTTTACAGAAGGTCCCAATATCTGTAAATGTCAGGATTACGACATCAAGCTTCCACTGTTGAATGCTGGAGCCTTGAATGCCAACTAAACATCTGGTTTCAACAGCTGAATGATAGCGAGTGAGACTAGGTGCCAGGAAAAGGCAGGTATTAGGCTACTTAGGCAAAAGTAAAGTACATGGGTATAGCCTGGACCAAGGATGGAAAAAGGTTCTAAAGGGATCAGTTAGAAGACTAAAACAGGCACAAGGAGGGACCACAACCTGATGAACTTTAGAACTGGTGTTACCTAAGAACTATTTTAGTGCAGATCAGGTTCACTTTAATCTTTAAGGTGCATGCTAACTGTCATAGACATGAATGATCTCAGCTGTCTCCCTTTTTTGGATCTGAGGGAACACCCGGTGGACACAGTGACATTAAGGTCTGTTTCACATGGGCTTCAGCTTGTATAAGAGAATTGAGAACAGCAAACTTTGACAAAGCATTTGCAAAGCTTTCAGCAAGCTTTGTTGAAGCTTTTAAAGCACCATTCAACTCCAGTTTGTAAATATTGAACCCAGATCCTATTGGGAGTGCTGATTGTCACTTTAAACATGCTGCTAGCAGGCTTCAAGTATTGCTGAAGCCCATGTGAAACAGGCCAAACATATGGGAACTAAATCCTAAGGCTTCATTAAGACCTGTGGTTGGAAATAAGGGGCACACAAATGCGCAATATTTGGCAAAAATGGGGTTAAAAAAGACGGCGAAGAGACGTAGCTTCCTTTTCTCACAACCTATCAGTAGCCTCTAGAGTGTGTTCCGAACCCGGAATGGTCTTCAGAGGCAAGAGAGCTTTAGATGCATGTTTACATCTACCCTAAGTGCCAGTGTGAAGGTGCTCTAAGGGGGAAGGATCAGCTATTAACGAAAATAAAGAGGGTGCTAGGAGGCCAGGCAAAGCAGGGTACAAAAATAAACAACATTTTTAAAAATACATTTTCTTCACATTCACTTATATTTTATGTGCAGTGACCCATGGAACCCCTAAATTACTTGGATTTCAATCATATTGTGAAAGATGTGCTCCAATTTCATATTCGCTGAACTAAAAACTGGTGTGTTACCCCATGCAGGCAATAATGCATTCAAATTCAATCCCTGAAAGAAATTTGGAATGTTAATTAAAGCAAATAAATAACAATGGCTTAAACTGTGCACGGCTTCACATGCACCAGTTTTATTTAAAGTGTATCTTGTGATCTGTGTAACCATGGTCCCTGGGTTTAAAAATGAAGGAAAATAAAAAATTTTGAGTTCTCACTGGAAAAAGTATAGAACAGAAATCAGCCAATAGGGCTCTTGTTCAGGTGAGAACTATCTAACGCTCAGTTCACACTAATGCGGGTCGTGCGGCCTGCGTTTGCATGGGCACGGCATCCCTTTCATCTGAATGGGCTTGTTGTGTTGCATTTCCTGCAGGAAAAAAGGTGCATGCAGCCTTCTGAATACGCAGCCGCAGGGAAACCGCATGGTCTTTTTTGACCATGCGGTTTTCCTGCAGCTCCCACACTCGGAATCGCGCAGTGGGCTGAGATGTGTGGGGGTGCCATTCAGAATCAATGGCAGCCCTTCACATCTCGCAAGAGCAGTGCAATTCAGCTGCGGGTGGGTGTGGGAACAGGAGCATTTCCTGCACCCGCAACAGCCCGCAGCCTGCGAGCTAGCGTCAACCGAGCGTTAAAGGGAATTTTCCCTCCTTTGGAAACATTTCCTCTAACTTTCTGGTATGTCTTCAAAACAGAAAGTAAAGGAAAATCTCGCCAACGGGACACAGACAACAACAGAAAAACACAACGGGGCTTTAACTTTTCCCTGAACAATATACATTCCCTTCCAGTGGATAAGATGGCTACCCCACTGCTATATCAAAAAATGAGAACACTTGAGCAAGAAAAACAAGAAACAAAAAGAAAAAAAAAAAAAAAAGAAAACCCGGTATGAATATACATATCCAGTGCTGTAAAATCTTCTTGAGCACTTGAACACTTTTATTGTGGTTAATTCTTACAATGACATTGCAGAGTAGTGCTAAAAGTGTGTATGAAATGTATGTGATATCGGCAGGATTTCCAAACAAACCTACCTGCCAACAAGCTTGAACCAGTGGAAACGATCATAGAACGGGTCACCACCATTTATTACAGTATCCGGTTCATCTTGCACATTGGAGGCCATTTCTCCTGCCCGGTCGTACATCTCTCGCATTTGATCCAATCTCAGTCTGGTGTGAAAAACAGGAGGCCACAGTTTGAATCAGTGGGGAACAAATGATGCCTGAAATAAGAACTGTTTGAGCGGTCCCACAGCAATTAGATCCATCCTCTTTATTTTACTATACTGCACTGGGAGGATCAGTGTAACTAGTTCCTATGTTCTACATTATCATAAGCCCTAATGTAGCTTGACAAGACATCAAATATTAGAGGTAGGTACTGCTGACTCACCATACAAGCAGACTTACCTAAGTTTCTCCAGTGACCAGTAGTGAGTGGCCCCATTTTTCAGGTCCTGCACCTCTACAGCAACCACTGTGCGTGGAAAGGGCTGGTCCTCTACAAGTTTATCAGCCTCAGGTGGAAGGAGCTCCGGAGGTAGAGGGGAATACAGAGTGTCTGTCAGAAGCACAAACTGAAACTGGACCTGTGGAAACAGAAAGCAAGATGGTGAACCTTCTCTTAGAAAAAGAGGGTACAAACAAGGCAAACAATATCAACAGGGATATTGAATTAAAACAGCTGAACACGCCTCTTAAAAGCCATTTCAATTGACTAAACTGCACCTGGTGTTCCAGTGCCCACCCTTTTGACCTGCTATGCCCAATTAATGCTGAACTCCAGAGTTCTGGACACTGTTGACCATTAACGTCTTTCTCAATGCTCAATAATATTGCTTTTAAATGTTTTATACAAAAAAAACCTACTTTTTGATTTAGAAACGTAAGACATCAGTAAGTGTCTACACTCATATCCAAAAACGCCAACATCCCTAAAATAGTATAGACAACACAACAGTGATTTAGGATTGGGACTTCAACTACTGATTATACATAAAATACAAATTTTATTTGTCAGATGATACAAAAGCATTGAAAACATCTAGCGTTCACAGTACAATTTGGGTAGCAATTTCTCATAAGTTGACGCGTTTCGAATTATTATTTTCTTCAAGGGAAATGAGAAAGTACAGACAGAACCCAATGGATCACAGACACACAACTGATAAAACGCACATCACACTGTGCACCACCATCATTCCCCAAGGAGACCCGAAATGTCTTACTCAGCAAGGTCCACAGACGCCAATCTTAGTATGATAAGGGTGTTGGAGCACCGATCGTCCTACTCAGAAAACTGTATGGGGGCCCAAGGTGAAATATACAGCAGGCTAAGACAGATATACTACCAACTTATAGAATCTGGGACTAGGTCACCCTTTCCAAAGGGAACTAGGAGCCCAAATAGCATGTTATAGAGAGTTGGACTTCAAGAAAGTGCTACAGAATGAAAGTGGAGGAAAATCTGGTGCTCGGAGACATAAAAAAGCCAATAAAAAGGGGGGGCGGGGGGGGGGGGGGGGGAAGAACTGGAGCAAAAATGTCACATATATACTTCTGCTCAGGCTTATATAGTTGTTGCATATGATAGACACATATAGCATACCGTATTTTTTCGCCGTATAAGATGCACTTTTTCTTCCCCAAAACTGGGGGGGGAAAAGTTGGTGCGTCTTATACGACGAATAGAGAGAGAATCCATGAGGCGCGGCCACGGCCGTAGGAAAGGCCGCGGCTTTGGCCTATCTCTGGAGCGGTCGGCCCATCTTAGTACACCCGGCGGTGTGCGCTGACGTCATCACCCCCTCTGCTCGTGGATCCTACCATAGCGCGGATCTACAACAACAGGTAAGGAGCGGGGCAATGCAATGTTACTGGCTATTATTACTATGTTGGGGGCAATGTTACTGGCTATTATTACTAATGTGGGGGCAATGTTACTGGCTATTATTACTAATGTGGGGGCAATGTTGCACTGGAACAGTGATGGTGATGACGAGTGGGGGCAATGGTGGACTTTTACAGTGATGAGTGGGGGCAATGGTGGACATTACGTGATGAGTGGGGGCAATGGTGGACATTACGTGATGAGTGGGGGCAATGGTGGACATTACGTGATGAGTGGGGGCAATGGTGGACATTACGTGATGAGTGGGGGACAATGGTGGACATTACGTGATGAGTGGGGGCAATGGTGGATGATGTATTAAACAAAAAGACAAAACGTACCGGTATGTTTGTCGTCTTGTTTTTTTTTTACATGGTTGGCATAAAATTGTTCTTAAACTGCTGTTAAATTTATACAGTTGATATAAAATATTTTACTACAGTATTGGGTTCAGAATCTTTTTTTTCTAGATTTTCCTCCTTTAAAATTGGGTGCGTCTTATATTCCGGAGCGTCTTATATGGTGAAAACTACGGTATATAGTATACATAAAAGGTGAATAAAGTCTATGAAGGAGTCTCTAGGGTAGGCGTAGTATAGTGGCAGCCGTCCTATGGAGCAGGATCAGCTCTGTGTACAAAGATCAGGAGAGAAAAGGAACAGGAGGCGCCATCCTGCTGTCATCGTGACATACCGGTGGTACCCTACAGGACGGAATGGAGTGGTCTCACATCCTAACACACATGAGCTTATTTTAATTCTTGTTCTTGTGAGTGTTTTTATTCCTACGAATTAAACATTACTGTAACATACTGCACTTAGCTTGGCGCCTCCTGTTCCTTTTCTCGCCTGAAGAAAGTGCTACTGACAGGTGATAGCATGTTGGCTAACCTCCCACAGGTGGACACAAGAGGTTGAAATGCCTGCAAAGTCCCAATACAAAATAACTGTTGTGTTGACTTGTAAATGTTTTTCTCTCGAGTGACATTGAATCCTTTAGAAAAACGTACTGTGCCTGAGTGAGGGAATCTAAGCAGGCGGCACACATCATATCTGACGTACTTCCTAGAGGCAAATAGGAACTACATTTACCATGGTTCCATGGGAATGCACTGACTATGAGGGAAAGTGCTTTACTAACTAGAGAACAGTTATTATCACAGCTGCCAATCAATCTTTGTTGGTGGCCCATGACTGGAGGAAAAAACGAGAGCAGAAGCTATTTCTCCATTGAAGAATATAATAATACAGAATACAATAAACAGGCGGTATAAGTGACCGGTTAGGGGTAGAAGAACTAGAGGAAAACCCAGGAAAGGAAAAGCATTTTTGCAAAAGGTAAGCTAGTAACTTCGTAATATGCTTTTATTCCTCCTGGCTAGGGTTCAGTTTTAAAGCTGAATTCCAGGACTTCAGCCACTTTGTAAAACCTGAAGGCACACTATGAGTCAAGTCCAAGGAGCTGCAGGACATCTCCTGGGCTTATCTCTGTTATTTATATCTGACAGAATTATTTCTCTGCCAGGAATATGAGAGCAGAAAGGCACACAGAGCAGAATTGCCTACCCCTCCCCTCTGCCGCCCATTCAGAGAACAAAGATGAACAATCTCCTGCACTCAAGAGCAGTGCGCCGGCAAGTGATGGAACTCAGGTCCTTGCTGCCCTCTAAGGACTGGAGAACCCAGGAAAGGTCCTGGAAAACAATGAACAGAGGGTTCACCAGCCTTGAGCATTACCTCTGTGACAGCTTTATTGTATGAACAGGGGGCAGGCGCTGAGAAAGAGGGGGGGACCCCCCCCTCAAAATTCATCAAGCCTTTTGGATGGTCCTCCTGTGGTTGTGACTTGCGTAGGAGACCAGGTAACCTTGAGTGCATTGTGAACATTGATATGCCTTTGTTGATGAGTGGTTTGTGAGCATTCTGTTCATAAAATAAAGCTCTCACAAAGGTAATGCTCAAGGCTGCTGCATCCTCTGTTCCTTGTTTTCCAGGCCCATTCAGAGAAGCCTTTGTGTTTTCTGAATGTGTTCACATAATACCAAGGCTTCTGTGAATGGGAAAGAGGAGGGGAGGGGTGGACATAGTAGCTGCAGCGACTTTCCTGTTGCATAGTATGCATGGCTCACATCAGCATTGCTCTCACAGAACTACAATGATAGCTATCTTCAAGGAGTATTATAAAGCTGGCAGATATAATAGAGTGAAGCCCCCGAGGTGTCATGCACTTCACTGATTTTAACTCATCGTGTGACTTTACAAAGAAGCTGAATTCCTAGAATTCAGTTTTGAAGTGGTTGGTATTTTACCTTTGTGCATTCTATATGGGTGTGTGAAAGCTGGGTTATGAAAAGAGCTGATAGAAAGAAGATTGATGCATTGGAATTATGGTGCTGGAGAAGGCTATAGAGGATACCCCGGACAGCAAAGATTACCAGCAGAGAGGTTTTAGAATGAGTTAAACCAGGAATAACTTTAGAAGGGAAGATAGTCAAATTACAGCTGACTTATTTTGGGCATGTGATACGATCTGATTCCTTAGAGAAGGCAACATTACTTGGTATGGTCAGTGGGGGGAGAAAAAGAGGAAGGCCGAAAACACGCTGGTTGGAGGTTATAGAAATTAAACACTGGCCTAAGCATGTATCAGCTAATAAGAAAGATGCAAGACCGGAAAGTGTGGAGAGTGACGGCCCATGAAATCGCCAAAAGTCAGACACGACTGAATGGATAGAGAGAGAGCATTCTATTCATGAAGGTAAAAAAACCTTCTGTGTGCAACAGTGCCCCCAGCCCCCTCAATACTTACCCGAGTCTCATCGCGATCCAGCGATGTGTATGACAGCCTCGTCTGTCCCAGGTCTCTGCCTCCTCATTGGCTGAGACAGCAAATGGGAGCAACGGGCTCCAGCTGCTGTCAATAACAGCCAGTCAGCCAATGAGGAGAGAGAGGGGGAGATGCCGAGCAGTGGATCCGAGTGGGAATGAACACATGAAGCAGCGGCTTGGGAACACGCTTACTTGGGTGCCCCCATAGCAAGCTGCTTGCCTTGGGGGCCCAGACAGAAAGGAGGAGCCAGGAGAGCCTGCAGGGGACCCAAGAAGAGGAGGATCCAGGCTGCTCTGTGCAAAATCATTCCGCACAGCAGGTCAATATAACAAGTTTGCTATTTTACAAAACAAAAAAAAAAAAGAACCTTTAGTATCACTTTAAACTAAATGCCATCCAAACCCCAGGATCAACAGGACTCCGTAGCTCACAGCAACCAATCAGAACAGTTTGTTACCTTCTTCTTCAGTTCTACGCTAATTGCATTGGCTTCTTTCAGGTAGACGGCATTTCCCCACAGCAGATCCCTTAAAGACGTGAACTGATGGTGTTTCCATTTCTTAAATGCCCACTCTGCCAGCTCAAACTCGTGCTGTGTCCAGGGTACTGAAATGGAAAGAGATGGCAAATGTATTATCAACACTAGCACACATTATAGAGCACATATCTGGACAGAACATGAGCACCGGGTACACTAGACACACTTAGTCCTTACAAATACCTGACTTCCTTTAGACAGAACGATGAATAGATTGTCACTTGGTATTTTCACTCATCAGAGACCTGCACAACAGTGGGAACTACAGAACATCACGTGATAAGTAGGCAGCATTTTGCAGCCAGAAATTATTACTGCAAACTAACAAGGTGTATTTGCTGCCTTTCTCTGACTTAAATAGTAAAATCCTACTTGCTGCTATTTGGATGCTATCTAAAGTGTAACTGAATGCAAAAAGAGAAAATAAAGTGATGTATTGCCTCTTACAAGTCCTTAGATGTAGTGGCTGCATTAGTTTTGCTATAGAAGGTTTCTTACCTTTAATTTTACCTGGTGATCCTGCCAGTAAAACGCTTCCTGCTATAGGGCGACAATGCCTTCTCACCATACTATATGGAGGAGCTGTGTAGTCATCCTAGGACAGAATTAAAGAACACCTTTCCCTCTTCCCTTCTTCATACCAGAGGTAAGGGGTTCTGTTCTCAAGGGAGATAGCTTGGAACAAAGCAGGAGGGGTGTAGAACAGGCAGAGACCACAGGAAGTTATCGACTCAAAAGATTTCTCACTGGATCAACAGGTATTTTTGCATGTGACGTGGTGGATACATTAGCTTACCTTTTTTAGGTGTATTTTTCTCTTTTATTTTCACCTGGTGATCTTGCCAGTAACACACTTCCTGTCCTAGGAGGGTGACAATGCTCATTCACCATACCATATCAAGGAAAAACAGCATTATCACTCCAAGACAGAATTAAAGTGGTTCTAAAGGCTGAAGGTTCA